AAAGTCCTCTGAATACGGAAAAACAAATTAGCATAGGAACAAATTTCATTGAGTGTGCTCTTATCCTTTTATTGTGTTTTATCGCACAGGAGTGTGTGAGTGTGTGTGATTGTGCGGATGTGTGCATAACTTCATATCATTCCGTCCATGAGTGTGTTGCTGCATGATTTAAAGTCATTCTGACTACAGTGTTGATGTTGGAAATGTTGTAGTAAAGAGTAAAGTATTTTTAAATGCTGAAAATGACCTGACATGACAAACAATATAGATGTTTACAAAGACCAAACTTTTCTTTTGTCTTTTTTTTTCTCAAACATGAAATAAAACTTGACTGGCAAATGCTCAGCCGATTCTCTGTTTCTTCTCTGATAGAGCAAGTCTATACCCATAAAGAGGGATCATTTTCAAAATGAAGATGCTAATTTTCTTAAATGCCTTGCAATTAGCAAATGATCTGCTGTAATCATATTTAGTTTAAACTGATTATAGCTTGTGGATAATTAGCCACAGCCTCACTATGAGATTTAATCCCATTTTTAAGCATTTTGGGATACAAATATCAAAATTACTCACATCAGGCACAAATTAATCACATAAAACTGTTATCTGTCTCCACTGTCTGCTCAGATTTCTATAACTTTCAAAGCTGAAGTGAAAAAACAACACAAATTTGCATTGCAACAATTTTGGTGTTTATATCATAAGAAGAAGAAACTTTTGGGGGGCGAAAATCTGCAGTCCCTCTGAGTAACGCATCAGTTGCAGATCTGTCTCAGACACTGCTGCTCTTTGGAGCATTATGTCAATATGGCCACAATATTTAAGGGGGAAGCACACCTCACAATGAATGCAAATCCTTAAACGAATTGTGAATCAATAAACGTATCACAGTCGAACATGAGGCTTATATTGTTAGAACAATAAACCTATGACACTGACCATCATTGCCATGGTAACACAACATGCAAGGATCAACAGCAGCAGAATGTAAGGTTTGCACACATGTAGCTTATTTAAATCTCCATATTTACATACATATGTCTGTTCTACCGAGAATAATCTCTGTGCACACTGTGGTTTTTCCTGCCATTTTCTTGGTGACACTTGGATTAATTTCTCTCATGTGGTAATTTCAATTCTCTCTAATGTCCTTTTGTACAGCCTGAAGGCCTTTAAACAAAGAAATGTGTTAACTTTGTGGATAATTTTCAATAAGTGTGAATGTGGCAGCTTGTTATAGTTTGATGTCCTGCCACATAACTGCCACTAAACAAAACACAAAGGATCAAACTGCCCCCAATTTATCACCTCAGATTAGACCCCCGCTCTTGAGTCATATATGTGCCACAAAATGTGAGTTAAAGATGGCAGCAGCGTGGACACCTGTGTTTATTTCTGTGGACCATATTCACATGGCGGCCAGTTTTCCATTAATTTCCACACAGAGTAGAAAACTCTATCGATGCTGAAATGTCTTACAGCTGCGTTCAAGTTTCTTATTTGCATGAATGTATATAAAATGGATAATCATTATCCTTTAACAGCTTATTGACCAGCAACTGAGAGGACAATGGCTGAATATAGGAACATCAGTCCTACTTCCATGTGCAACATGTATGAATGTTTTGTTTCTCACTGCCAATGACATACATCTTTTATTTCTTTGCTTATTCTTCTATGCAAAAGCATAGAAGATTTCATTTTCTGCTTGTTTTGTAACCATCTGTGTCATTCTCTGATCGTATCATACCCACAATTTTCTCCTTAGTTGCTTCTCTGCAGTTTCTAACCACAGATGTGCAGTTTGTACTCACTGGGATTTCTTCTCATTGAGACGCAGCAGTGTTAACTACTACACCAATCCTTGATTAAAAGATGAGTACAACTATATCCACAGGGGCTGAAAGTTTTGTTTTTCGACAGTGTTTTCAACAAGTTACAGTGACAGAAAAAAACCTTCTTTATGAAGGAAGGTCCGACAACTTAATGTTATCGATTACATTTCCAAAAAAGTCAAATCTAGACTTATATCCGATTTGAGGCTGAAAGGCAGGAGATCTTGGGTATGCTGCTGCAGTTTTGAAATTGTTTGGCAAATTTAACAACTCGTCTGATTATAATTGGTCGATCCAGAAATCAAGTCCAGATTAAGGTAGCAATATATACTCAGCTGAAATCCAGTTTTGTGTAGATATTTATGGTTTTCATGTGGAGTGCTTTGATAGAGAATTAGTAAGTGTCTGTTACTTCAAGGAGTGTCTTCTTACATAAGCAGTTAATCATATGTGATTAAAACATGACCCATTTTGGAGCATTTTAAAGCCGTCACCTTAAATTCCAAATTAAATAGCATGTAGAGGTAGTTCTCAGTGAGGCATCATTTCTCTGTTGGTTTTAAAATATAGGGACAACCATGCAAAAGTTCACTGAAATTCAAGCTAGATCTTTCTCACCTAGTTCTGACTTAATCAAGGTATCGCTGGAGTTCCCAGAAGGACAGAGAGTCCTCCCTCAAATATATGTCAGAGCCGTCTCAGCTGTGGGGCGCTGTGGCTCAGTGATAGAGCCTGATAGTCAGAAAGCCAACCATTCAACCCCTGTTCCCTTTGTCAAACTACTGAAGTGCCCTGGGCATAGACATATGGGTGAATGAATGAGATTGGTTAAAACTCAATATTGTGTAAATTACTTAAAATGAATTATTGGTTACAATAACCAGGTTCTTTTTTTATCCAAGATCTGAACTACTAACCGAGTCGCATTAGGAGAATTGGTAGGTACTTTAGGGAGTGACTTCAGCATTACATATTTCATATTGCTTCAGTGCCCTCATTACTATACACTACCTCTCATCTTATTGGTGATGTTTATTGGTTCTCTAAAAGCAGCAGACTCAACAGACTGCCAAATTTAGGTATAAAAAAAAGTCATAGTTTATTATGATTAAAATTAAGTCATAGTATAGTATGATGAAAATGTCAAATTTAGGTATGAAAATTGTCAAAGTATAGTGTGATAAAAAAATGTCATTGTATACTATGGTAAAAAAATGTCTTAGTACACTAGGATAAAAATTTAAATTTTTGTATGAAAAAAGTCATAATATAGTATGATGAAAAAAACATCATAGTATACTATGATAAAATAAAAGGCCGTAATACAGAATAATAAAAATTGCAAATTTTTGTATTAAAAAAGGCATAGTATAGTATGATTAAAATTGTCATAGTGTGCTAGGATAAAAATTCCAAAATTAGGTATGAAAAAAGTCATACTTTATTATGATAAAAAAAAAGTCATAGTATAGTATGATGAAAATTTCAAATTTAGATATGAAAACAGTTAAGGAAAGTGTGATAAAATACTTTAAATTTTGCATGAAAAAACACCACAGTAGTGTCTAAATAAAAAAACCCACAGTATACTATGATTAAAGTTTCAAATTTTAAGATAAAAAAGTCATGAGAAAGTATGATAAAAAACATCATAGTATACTATGATAAAAAAAACGTCATAGTATAGTATGATAACAATAGCAAATTTTTGTGTGAAAAAAGTCATAGTATAGTATGATTAAAAGCCATAGTACTGTATGATAGAAATTGTCATAGTGTGCTATGATAAAGACTTCAAATCAAGGTATGAAATTAAGTCATAGATTTTTATTTTTTTTTAATCATAGTATAGTATGACAAATTCTGAAAATTTGGTATGAAAAGAAGTCAAACTATACTATGATAAAAAACCATTTCATAGTATGATGAAAAAATTCATGGTATACTATGATTAATTTTAAATTTTAGTATGGAAAAAAGTCATAGTACAGAATGATTGAGTCATAGTAAAATATGATAAAATAGTCATATTATACTAAGTTAAAAATGTAAAATTTTTGTATGGAAAAATGTCATTGTATAGTATGATAAAAAATTGCTAATTCTTGTATTAAAAAACATCATAGTATACTATGATAAAAAAACGTCATAGTATAGTATGATAAAAATTGCAAATTTTTGTGTGAAAAAAGTCATAGTATAGTATGATTAAAAGCCATAGTATAGTATGATAAAAATTGTCATAGTGTTTTATGTAAAAATTTCAAATCAATGTATGAAAAAAGTCAGTTTTAATGAAAACAAATGTCATAGTACAGTATGACAAAAGAAATTTCAAATTTGGTATGAAATAAAAGTCAAATAATAGTATGATAAAAAATATAATAGCATTGTATTCATAGTGGACTATAATCAAAATTTTAAATTTTAGTATGGAAAAAGTCATCGTACAGAATGATTAAAAAGTTATAGTATAGTATAATAAAATAGTCATATTACACTAAGTTAAAAATGTCAAATTTTTATATGGAAAAACGTCATTGTATAGTGTGAAAAAAAATTGCTTATTCTTGTACAAAAAAAAAACAGTCATAGTATAGTATGATTAAAAGCCATAGTATAGTATGATAAAAATTTCAAATTTAGGTATGAAAAAAGTCATAGTTTATTATGATTAAAAATAAGTCATAGTATAGCATGATGAAAATTTTCAAATTTGGTATGAAAAAAGTCAAAGTATAGTGTGATAAAAAAAAACTTATAGTATACTATGATAAAAAAAATGCCTTAGTATACTATGATAAAAATTTAAATCTTTGTATGAAAAAATGTCACAGTAGAGTATGAAAAGAAAAACACCAAAGTATACTATGATTTAATGTTTCAAATTTTTATATAAAAAAGTCATGATATAGTATGATGAAAAACATCATAGTATACTATGATAAAAAAGGCATAGAACAGTATGACAAAAGTTGCAAAATTTTGTACAAAAAAAGTCCTAGTATAGTATGTATAAAAGCCATAGCATAGTATGATAAATATTGTCATAGTGTGCTATGATAAAAATTTCAAATCAGGGTATGAAAAAAGTCATAGTTTATTATGATAAAAAAACGTCATAGTTTAGTATGACAAAATTAGGGTTACCAGTGTTTGCTTTGCTTGGACTCTCTTGCATCTAGCTTTATGCAAGTCTTACATTTATGTATCTTTTCTCCTAGGATGCTACTACACTAACAGACATGCAACCTTAAGTTAGATGATGGCTCTTATGTAGTTGTGGGCTATTTGAAATTTCTGTAATTGTAACCTTGTAAATTTAAAAAGTAACTGGATACACAATAAGTTAGGGCAGATAGTACTGGAGTTACAGCACCACATTATATTTTGGTTTTTACTAAGTAAGGAAAGGGAGGCAACATATGGGAAAGGGGCTGCAGGTTGTCTTGTAATGAAACATGCCAATATCTATCATATAGTTTAAACCAATTATTGCTTGATGCTTATAATCTTTGCCTCATGTCAGAATAACTAAAAAAAACTTGTAATTTTATTATGTCAGATGATCCTAAATTCAGTGTTTATTTAAATCAACATTTAAATGTTATTCAGAGGAATGAGTGTGTGTCAGATGCTCTCTGAGGTCAACCTGCAAACTTTTCTTGTTAATGTGTTACTTTTTGTATTAATCATGGTTAATTAAATCAGCACTCACCTGCCTTTTTGTTTGTTATCTAACCTGGCAACGTGAGAAAGAGCATGTCATATTTATAGTGCTGGCCGGAGGGGAGTAGTTGTTTAAACCTCACACAGGCGAACCCACACACACAAACACACACACACACACACACACCTGGGACCTGATCAGCACTGCTGTCTTGCTTTGTTGGCTAGTCTAAAGCTCTTCTATTATTGCCAAATTGAAACTTGCATTGGACAATAGGGGATGATTGGGTTTTCATTTGCAGAGTCCATTCATTATTTCACTTTTAAAGACTGCCTACTTTGAGAACAATAGATCGAAACTTTCACTCAGAGGTTCGGAACAGTTCTGCATGTTTTTACTCGGTTTTCTTCATCCGTTCTTCTTTGTCAGTTTCTGAACAACAGGAAAGTGGCAGCTGTTATTCCCACAGCATCTCCACGGTTACCACGACGGCAAGACACGTCTCCATTCTCCGCTGGAGGAGAACGAGACAGAGAGACGAAGAGTAAACACAGTAGTCCTGAGGGAGGGAAGAAAGAGGGAAGAAGAGAAAGGTAGCTGCAGACAGACACGTAGAAAGATGGAGGGCCAAAAAGTGTGTGAGGAGAGAGACAAAAAGGAAGGCAGAAGAAGAGCAGGAGTGTAGATCTGAACAGACTGTGAGACAAACAGACACAGACAGAGAGCAGTAAACAATTTGAGGCACGAGGAGGGGGTGATGGAGTCAGTGCTGACATGGAGCTCTCCAGTGGGACGTGGAAGAAGACAGGAAGTGACACGCTACATTGATCGCCTTCTCTCTCTGGGGCCTTAATGTTTGTCTCCACGCTTAAACTGATTCCGACACCAACTTCTTCGTTGGTTAATTGGCTTTGCCTCTTTTGTAAGAAACAGCTAACAACATTCCACTTACAAATGTCTTATCTCACTGAGAGGTAGATTAATCAAGATCTGTTCAGTTTAGACATAAAAAGATAAAGTGTGTCTGAAAGGAAGAAGCGACTAATGTTCATCAATTACTTTTCAGATAACAAAAGAAGGGAAAACCAAAATGATCAAGTCCATTGTTACAGGCAGCATTTGTACTTTTGAAGTTGAGAAAGTTTTTGTTGGTGACAAATAGATGCCTGAAGTATCAGAATCAAAAAGTACCATCTGTTTCAAGTAAATGAAAAGGCTTTATTCAACACGACTGAAAAATAAAGATCAAATGACTCCGATCACAGCTTTTGATAAATTGAAGACTTGAAAAATAGTCCACCGCAAACCCAAGAAAAGCAGGCTTTTTCCCAGGCACGAATCCACGACAACATATTTTTAAAAAACCATCAAAAATTGAAAATCAATTGACACTAATGACGGATGAAGAGTGGGAACGATAGTTTACTTTTGGTCTCCACAACATGATGCTTCAGTGGAAATCAGAATTCCAGGTCATGAGGTGAGCAAGACCCAGACTCTTTACAAGTGTGTTTTTATTCATCTATTTTACCATAACTACAATTGCCGACCAGCGATTGAGATGAGATAGGGAATGAGATAGAGATCTGGGACCAAGACTAAACCACCCTATTTCATGTACCCCAGGTTCACTGGTACAGGAATGAAGTCTCTACGATGTTGGATTCACAATGGCAATGGTATGGGAAGTAAAGCATTCAGTAACTTGTTAGTCATTGACCAGTTGAGGTAAATATTAATGGTTGCAGAGCTTCTACTTCATCTTCTTATTCATCCTCCATTTTTTATGCCTTTTTATCATATACACTGACTTGTGAAAAGGTAGAAACAGCAGATGGAGCTCTTTAAAGGCTCTTTTAGGATCAGAGGACTGTTTGTTGTAGATTTTTGAGATAATCTTTGACATAGTAAATACATTTTTTAAAGCATTAATGTAAATGTCTTTGGTTTTGAGCATCTAATTAATATCATCCATTTATATCATGTTATATGACCTGCAGCTCAATACTTTGGTTGCTGTCTGGTTGCTAAGTTCAGAAGGCTTTCCGAAATATCAGAAAATAGATCAAATATTCAATATTTATTCAATATTTATTGCCCTCGTTAAAAAAGAGGAGAAAGAAAAAAATCTGAGAGAAAGTCAGAGGCAAGTTCAGTGAGAAGAGTGACTAATGTTCGAGAGGATGTCCACAGCAGTTCTGAAAACTCTGAAAGGATAAAAGAAACAGCAGTGTCAGCGTGGATACACTAAGGCGATGCAGAAAAAAAATAGACTGGAGTGAGAGGATGAGGGGGATCAAACAACAGAGGGAGAGAAAAGGGAAAAGAGAAGCAGATGAAATCAAAAAGAGCAGACACTGGTGCCTGCGACAGAGGGAGGATTGAGCCGACTTTTGGAAAAACAGGAGGGATGAAGAACTTTGGGGAGAAATAAGATTGACAGGCAGTAAGAGAGATGAGAAACGGAGGAAAATAAGAAGGACTGAAGGATGACAGTGAAAGATGTTTACACTGGGTGGGATTAAAGCCTGTCTTGAGCAAGAAGGCTTGAATGTTTGGATAAGGAGTGAAGAAAGAAGTTTGTTCTATCTGAAAATGAAACATGAGCAGAACAAGTGACAAAACAGATGAGTAGACAGGAAATGTAGTTGGGATTTCCCAGGCGATGTGACAAATTGTTCATGAGGTTATGAGCGCTTTGAAATGATGCAGGTGGTAATCAGAACACCTTACTGAGCCATGATAAAATGTCTATAAGCTCCCAAACCAATTGGCTCTTCTCAGACTCTATTGTGCTGCTGATTACTGTGGATTTGAGACAGGAAATCAGCGATCTGTGAAGGATTATATTCTCAAATTCACCTTTCTGACCCCAATGCGAAGCAGCAAGGGATGAGAAGAGAAAGAGGAGAGAAATAAAACTAAAATAGAGATGGACACAAACAAGACAGCAGGAATGGTCAATGAGTTCAACCCTCCACGGTTGTACCTTTAGCTCTTTCTGTAAAGGCTGTTCCCTGTTCTAATATGTGACTTCATATTTCAGTATCTTTATCAATCCCTATGCGGAGATTATCTCTTGTATATAAATATTCTGCAGGGAGGTCAGAGGTCAAACACAGCTGTGGAGACATTCCTGTAAAGCCTGTGAAGTAATTTCTCAGAAATGACGATACTTTAAATTGTTTATTTATCCACCACTAAAAGATATATTTGAATAAATGTAGCACTTAATCTTTAAACTGTCTCTTTCTATTTAACTGATGCAGGTAGCCTTATCTAAATTCTATATAAATAAATGAATTCTGTCTGTCTTTGTTGTGCATCCTCACTAAAACACACAATGCAGCTTTTCATTTATGCTTAGAAAACTAAATTATCATATTATTCATCCTTTTAAACATTCATGCATTTATACTTTATCCATGCCTGCATATATAAGACTTAGCTATTTCCTCCTTTGAAAATGTCCTTACACAGATTCTCAGTAGTGCTAGAACAGTCAATATGATGACATCAGTGCAGTCTCTACTCTCTGCAAGTACCGTGGCTGATTTTAAAAGAGTGCGCAGAGGGCAAAGCTGTGCCTCCGAACTAAATCTGCCACCTGCAATGAACTCAAAACACATTGCAGAGCAAAAAGTGTTAAATAATAGACACTTTCTTATCACAAATGGGTAGAGGGTAAGGGCCAAGAGAGCCTGAAATGTTGGGGGAGAAAAAAAATCACTTTAAACACGATCTCATCCGTGGCGAGGACACCGAAATGAAGGAGAAAAATTCCCTGATCTAAAGTTTTGAAAGAGAAAGTGAGAATGTTTGGGCTCAACCCAACTTCATCACAAATAAGACAAAACCAAACAGTCGTGGTTCGGCTTGTTGTAGGTTTTATTACTGAATGCTCAGTCATATACTTTATATTCATCAGGAAGAAACAATAGAATATTACATCTGGATCATTGTGCAGACTTCCCTTTATATCCACCAGTCATACACACTCCATATACAGTGTCAAAACTCACTACATATCTTGTCTAATGTGTATTGCATGCTGTCTTTACCATCACTATTTAAGTGTACAAACACGGCTGCAGCTGTTAATTATTTAACAAGTCCAAAAATAAAAGATGGTCTCATTATTGGATAAACCAGAGGGAGGGAAATGGGACAGTATGGTTGAGAGAGGAAGAAAAGAAGAGATAGAGAAGACATGACAGCCAGGGGCCTCAGGGCGGGCCTGAGGGAGGCGAGTCACACCAAATGTCTAATAAGAGTAGAGTCAAGGCGTGTTTCTGTGTGATGCTAAAGAGAGGATAGTAACTTATGTTAAGCCACTGGGCTTAAAACAGCATTAAATTGTTGGTGTGTTCAAATGTAAGTGATTTTAGAGTAAACAGGACAGATAACAGCGGTTAAAACTTTCAGCTGATGAGGAGTAACCCCCCTGGCTAAACTCTGCAGGGGAGAAAACTAGCTAACTGGGCTAGCATACCAGTGCTGTTTCTTTCTCCGTGTGCTTGCATGTTCAAAGAAAAGGGATGAAATAACAGCCTTTTTTGAGACATGGATTCAGCGCAAAGCTAAAAAATCCTCATCCAAAGGCTACTTACAACTTTGTTTATATGGAACTTCACACAGAGCACATGCTGATGACTTAGCTTGTCCTATGCTTGAAATACTAGGTTACATGCTAACATGCTAGCAAGCCACTGCCTTTTAACACATGAAACAGACACAGGGGAGCAAGTCTTCTTGTGTTTTCTTTGTTTTGTGACCTACAGATGTTGCTCCAATTTTCCTCCATTTCCACTTCCATTTTGTTTTTTTAATTTCAAGGGGAAAATCTAGCCGTGTTTTGCTAACATTTGCCACATAGAGGGAACTGCAAAGTCAAGTTATAACTCTCTGTGGCTTATGATACCTTTTAATAGCTATGGCATGTGGTAAATTCTTTAAAATCAAAGGGCTTTTTTATTATTTTTTTATCATGACCGACCAATGACGTTGAGAACCAACAGAACAATCAGGTTTTTCCTAAAGTCATAAAAGGTGTATCTCCCAGAATGCCATGAGGTCAGTTAAAGTGAACAAACGTTTAACCAGTGTAACCACTGGATGAGACTGTCTCCGGGTGGCAATATTTTTTTTTTGTAGGACAGTAGGGGAAAGTCCCGCCTCCTTCGCCTCTGATTGGTTAGAAAACCTGGAAACGTCATCACACGCTCGAGCCAAACGCAGGCTGTCGACTTTGTACATCAAACAGAACATTATAGAACATTATCGCACTTCTGAATCTCCTAACCCTAACCTGACAGACGATGACGTTTCACAGCCATTAGGAATAACCAATCAGAGCTCAGCACTTCTAGCCAATCAGAGGCGAAGGAGGGTGGGACCTTCCCCTTCCAACCTACAAAAAAAAAAAAATCGCCTCCGGGTGCAAACTAGTACCTGTTCCCTTGAAGTAAATACATGCAGCATTTCTGTCCTAGTAACTCAGACTTTTTATAAACAAAATACTACTATTAACACGCTTGTATTCTGTAGTATTTATGATTTAGTATGCATGCTATCCTCTGCGTTTTCCCTCATAACACAGTTTTCTTCAGGTTCAACTTTGGTAGCAGTTATCTTCGCTAAAGTTGGGTTGTGACTTGTTTTCATCATTTTCTGTTGTTCTGTTGATGATCAATCTGAGTATGCGGGACAAAAGAAGCTCGTTACAACGTGAACAGAACTGAATCGAGTTGTTTTTAAAACTCATTGTGCAGCAAAATGACCTTTTGTCATGTGATCCATGCCCTTGTGTCCATCAGCGACAATAACTTGTTAAAAATAAATAACTGCCAGAGCGCTACACAAAGAGCAAAAATCATTGAAAAGTGGTTGTATTGATGTTCATGTCACAGGAACAAAAGACAAAACAAGCAACAAAAACAGGGAATGAAAAAAGTGCATTCATACATGAAGAGACTCTCCGCTGAAAAGGATTTCTATTACTGGGATTTTTCACCTCAAAACAAGATTGTACAAACCTCTGCGTACCTGGTAGTTATGTACAAATGTTACATATGTATTTTACTTTGAATACTACACTGCACTAGGAGAAGCTTGGACCACCTCGGGCAGAAAGCCTGGAGGGAATGTAACAACACCTTCAGAGATAAATCTTTCCATTAAGTGGTGGCACTTTGATTTTTAACTCCTCTAAATAAAATCTGCACTTACACAACAGCAGTATCTAAAATGATACACTGTGGCTTAACATTAAAGGATAGCCTGTGGTAAATCAATCTGTGAGTGTTAAGTTTTCACCCACTCTCTTCAAATCTTGATAGAGTGGATATAGATCAAATAACCACAGTGGAACAGTTGATGAAACTTTCATTTAAATAGAGGATTCTTTACAAAGATGCGTGTTTGAGGGGGAATAATCAGACAGACAGGCAGCCAGTGCTCGCTGAGGGAAGGAGGCGGGAGAGGACGAGACAGGAGTCCCTGAATCTCACCAAAAATATCTCATCTTTGAGGAAAAACACTCCCGCTTTCTCTGTTAACGCTTTCTGACTTCTCCCAGCCCATTCCCTCTTCAGCACTTTTGGTCAGTAGTAAAATTCACATCAACCTAAACACATATACAGAATACATATAAACAGAGTGCCATTTCTAACCCCTTAACAAGACAAAACAATGCAAAAAGAAAAAATTTAGCCGTAAAAAAAAAAAAAAAAAAAAAAGTTTCCAGTAATGGATAAAAACAGTGTGAGGCAGCTTTGACAGAGACATATACGCAAAATTTCAACTTAGAGTACCATTCAGTTTGTGCACAACAATTCTAAATTAAATTTTGGTTTTGGATGAAGCATCTTAAAACTTAAGAGCGCTGTGTGAAATAATCTAAAGGGCATATATCCTCTAAAATAATTTGCACATGCTGTTTCTTCGTTTCAAACAATGCAACAAAAGATAAACGAACAACATCATAGCCTTGGATTAAAAAGAGGTATTTGAATTTTGTGGTTTCAGTGAAATTGAAGTGTTCGGGAACAGACTTCTGCAGACCTACAGTTATGTTTTGGACAGATGGACTTCTTGCTACATTATCTAACACTATAACAACAGTAATGCAGTGTTACCAAGCGCATGGGAAGAAACGCCCTCATTCTTTCACTGCCTTTTGTGATTTAGACCAAAATAGGCTAACAGTTTTACATTACATGTCATAGTGCAGCTTAAGTTATTATGTTTAATCCACCTCCTAAAGTGGGTACTGCTATTTAAGCAGACTGTGCTGTATGATGGTCTTCTCCAGGCAGCAAAAGTGGCAAACTAACTATACCAAAGACCCTCACACACACACACTTAGCCAGCTCTTTCTATTAAGCAGGAAGTATTACTCTCCCCAAAAGCAGATGTCTCATCAAGAGATTAACTACTGGCCACACACACACACATACATCCACACACACTCACACCCATACCCAGAGTTAAGTAATCTGCAATAGTGGTAAAATATTGTGGCTCTTTCTTTAAGTGTGTGTGTGTGGTCTGGTTTTCAAACAGAGGATAGATTGAATGCAAAGAGGATTTTCGTTTAGCCCCTGAACTAATACATTTGTGTGTAAGCATGCACAACTCTGTTCGTATACAACTTTCATAGAGGCCACAGTCAAGGATATATATGTGTGAGAAAATGAGTGTTGCATTATTAAAACCCTCCCTTCTTTATCCTCAAACACACATGCACACAGACGCTCAGGTTAATGGCGCTCATGCAACCTTGGCGGGATTTTCCGTACAGGTCAAAGGTCAGGGGCGTTATCTCATGTGTGTTTTCAGGTACAGGCTGATAAAGTAATCAGGCTCCATGAATGAAAAGCTCGACCAGCCAATTTAAAATGAACAAGAAAGGCTACAGCGCCACTTGCTGGTCAGCTACTGTCATCACAGCTACATTTAAGCTTCGCCTTTTCCCTAAAACACCAGATTAAAAATCAGCACTCTTTCCCTTCATACTCCTTACTGATATCCAGCTCTGGAAAATAATCTACTAATCTTATTTAACTGGCACAGACGCTTTTTTTTTTCACTGATTTGCAGCACATCGTACCATTTAGCTTTTAAAGTCTTAAATGTTTGTGGGACATGTTTCTCTAATGAAGCTACTAACAAATGTCAGATACTGTCTACAGGGTAAACCCTTCACCTTATCATGGGCGGCTATTGTTTACCCTGCTCGTCTCTATACAGTTAAAACTTTCATAAAGTGTCAAAAAAGAGGTTTAAGCTTTAACAAACGGCAAGCTTTAGCAACAACAGAGTGAACGTCCAAGCCTGTGTCATTGATAAAACATAGCAAAGCTAATGAATCGAGCAAAAGTGGAAATAAGAAAAAAAAAAAAGTACAAAAGAATCTGATATTAAAAGCAAAACAAAGACAAAAATGTAAAAAAATTAAAAAATGTTTAGTTTGATTGTTCCAATAAAAGGCATGATGTGTCAAATAAAAACAATAAAGCTCTGTAGACAAGAACAAAACATCTGTAATAAAAGGAATAAAATTAGTTAATAATTAATATCATTACTATCCCACATTATAATCATTATAGACCCCCATTGAAAGTAATTATTTTCCTTTTTACAAGTTATTATTTTAACTGAAAGACATTTCTGCCTCCGACAGGACAGGAGTGGTAGATGAGGAAGTGGAATCAGCCAGTGAGGCATTGCTATTGTCCATGCTCCTGTTCCAGCTGCTGTGATTAGGCGTCGACGGGTAAGAGGGCGTAGAACAGTTGGAGGGTGGGCCCGAGCCGGAGCTGGGACTTGGGCTGCTATGATTGGACAGGGATGAGCACAGGGCGTTCTTTTCGAGACCTTTGGACTGGAGTTCCAAATGAAGGTGCTCACAGATTTCCTCCGGTAGCCTCTGAAGCTCTTCATCCAGCTCCCTTTCCAACTGAGACTTCATCTGGGTAAAAAAAATATTTAAAGTCATTAAAAGACAAGAAAGAAGAAATTGAAATCTCAGAGAACTATTTGAAAAAATTGGTATAAATCAATCTGTGATTGAATCCACAAATTTCAAAACAGTTTCATCACTTTATGTGGTTTCATTTTCAGATTTTATGGTTTTTTTTCTTTTTTTGCTCAAGAAAAAACATTTACGATCATTTCTTCATGGAAATGCAATCAGACCGAGACGCCAAGGCAAAGGAACTACCGCGTCTGCAGTGCAAAATGATTAATATGGTGATTATTACTTCAAGGAAATGATGAAAGAAATTATCATAAATGTTCTTCCTTGAGCTGCATCACCCCGTTTTTCAGTCTCTATATTTCCTTTTATAATTCCTCTTAAATTTGTCTTAGTAAAGCCTCAAATTTCTCACAGTGGTGTAATAAAATATCATAATTTCAACCTCTGTCTAAAACACACATCATTTAAGCTGCTGTCTCTCTTAGGCCCCCCCTCTAAAAGCTCGCTTTCTTCGGATTGGCCACCTCTAAGGAGGCTTTTCTGAAGCTGGCCAAGGGCAGAGCCCGATGTTTTGGGTAATCAATAAATATACTTTGTTTCACATTGAGTAAGGACTTGACTGCATATTTTTTCATTATTTGATCTGCCCTGTTGATTTTTTTGAGAGTGCAGTGAGGGTAATTCTGCTGAAGTACAAAAAAAACAAGTTCAACGGGTCAGAGAGTCAAATAAGAGCTCTGCAATGAGTGTCACTTCATGTGCTTTTTCTCACCAGTGGAAGTTCCTCGTCTATGTGCTGCAGCACCTCCCGCTGCCTCAGCATCAGCTTGTCCTGTCTCCTTGTCTGAGCTTCCTCCAGCTGGGGAGGGTAGAAGGGTAGGTCATGAAAGGGGAACGATGTACAAAAGAAAAAAGGAGGAGAAGGGATAAAGAATGAGTAGATAGTAAAAATATGTGAATTTGTGGAAAGTAGGAGCCGCAATAAAAGGAGGATACAAGGTGAAAAGAGTAGATATTTTAGAAGAGAGATTTAAGAAATTGAGAGGAAGAAAAAAAGGGAATGAAAAAAATGAAGGGAGGAGGCAAGGCAACATGGATTAAGAGGCAAAGAGATTAAAAAGGAGACATGGGGAGAAGATAGTGTGTTAGAGGAGTTGAGGAAAGTTGATGACAATAGCAGAAAAATGTGCTATAAAGTAGGTAACTTGAAATTCTGAAGGACTTGAGGTGATAAGAGAGTGTGTGTGTGTTCAAGTGGGTGCTTACTCTGCGGATTAAGGAGACAGAATCTTGAATGTGTTTCCTGTTGATCTCATTCAGCTCCCTACAGAGGTGGAAAGGAGGATAAAGAAAAAGACAGCATAGGAAATAAGAAGAAAAAGAGACAAAAGACGGAAGGAGTGTTCATTAAAATAAGGTCTGACCGCAGGAGTACAGTGACGTTAATCTAAATCTTAAAACACAGATTAATTTTTTACGTTTCAGCCTTGTCTTTGTCACGGCTTTTAGCTTCGCTGATGCTGTTTTGTCGCTTCCTATCCAAGATCTTCTGGAGCTCTTTCTTCTCCCTGAAGTCACACGATAATTATTCAATGTTATACTCAAATGTGAATCAGTATCATCTGTTTTAAATGACACTAGTGAAGGTGACACAGCTACACTCACTTTTCACACATCTCCCTGAGCTTCTTCAGCTGAGTCGCTTGGCATTCATGGGCCGTCTCCTTTAACTTCTGGAAGGCCTAAAACACACAGATGTGGATGACAGCCTGTCAGCAAATCACTGTGCAGATGTATGAAAGAGCTGCAAAGTTTCCCAGAGGTCAGATTATATTGATGGATATTTAAAGATGCACAGAAGGATTACAGTGCATTACTCTTTTTCATACGGAGGCATGTGTTCTCACCTCTTCCACCTGTGCTTGTTGCTTCTCTCTCTCCAGTTTGTGAAGCTGCTGCCGGAGTTTTAGCAGCTCTTGCATCTGCCATTCCCTCAGCTTCTCGATCTCCTGATCCAACGCTGTGAGCTCACGCTGCACCGGCTCCGGGGGCTCACTGAAAATAAACACACAAATAAAATAAACACAAAGAAGTCAGATTTAGTTAAACTGTAACTACAAGTTTTAAGATCCATTAATGAAGAAACTCACTCTGAATTTATTACCCTCTTTTTTAACTATCTGCAACTAAAGCAACAGTGAGAAAACGATCATTCGCGATAAATCAAATCAATTCACAGAAAGATGTCTCGCACATTTCACCTCTGCCTGTGGACACTGTGGCAAAAACACCAGTTTCTGTAAACATTCTCAGTTCTCTAAACATTGATTTTTTGTCTAAAGCTGGTCTAGAGATTCTGAAAATAATGACAGTAAGAGAGCATCACCGTGAACACAGTATGAAGAGAAAGTGGAGCAAGATCCTGTCTTATAACCTAGGAGAAGCTGCAGAGCTGGTGAGTGTATCTCTTAGTAGTGAATAGCTACAAACTGATAGCTTTGCATGCTAATGAGTGTAACACCCACTCACTGTACATAATCCCTTGTTTCACACCATTTACCTTTACATTATAAAAACGTTCTGATATTTCACAAAGGGTTTTGCACCGCTCCGCCAACATTAAAGGGACACCTCCTGAGATCTTCTCCCATGATCTATATTCACACATCAAAAGTCTATCCATCCATCCATCCTTACTTTCTCCTGATGCTACGTTTGAGGTGTTTCTCCATCTGAATGCGTTTCCGCTGAGTGTCAGACTCGATCTGGCTCTTCCGACTCTTCTGCTCTTTACTCAGATTCCACACCTAAAAAACACACACAAGAAAAAAACTTATTTTTCAAACAGCAACTTTTTAGAGATAATAATGTGACCATGAGGCATCTACTTCTGTGATTGTGTTTACCTTCTTGAGGTGTTTCTTGCGCAGCTCCTTCACCTCTTTGCTCTGTTTCTTTAACAGCTTTAGGAAACCCTTCTGCTCCTTAAACTCCTCTATAGACTGGGCCTGGATGTCTAGTTCACACATACAATAAAAAAAAGAATTTAAGGCAAATAAAATCCCATTATATAAAACCTTTATGTAGCTCTGTGCAACAAACACATGATTACATCAAAGTCTGGGTGGAAGTGAATGTAATGTCATGAACTTACCTGTCAAGACATTGGCTATGAGGTCTTCCTTTGGACATTGCACTACACACAGACAAACAAATAAAAAAAAAACATACAAGAAGAGGCACACAGACATGAGTGAAATGGATGATGTGAGAATAAAACAAACTAAAACAGCAGAAAACAAAATTTATGAACAATAAAGTGTGAATGGCTTATGTACAGCTAAATACAAAAGACAATATTTTATGATGAATGATAATGGAAACTGGTGCACTTAAGTCTCATTAATGGACACAGCAGGGGGAAAAATATTGTATGTCCTTACCTGGCGCGGGTAGTTTGATGATGTCAGGGGTGTCATCAAATGAGCCCCCATGCTGGGTGTGAAACGGGGAGGGGAGCTGACATCCTGGAATGACTTCGCTCTCTCTCCTGGTCTCTCCCTCTTTGGTCTGGTTGGGAACGTGCTGATGAAAAGCAGCAGAGACATAAATATGGAAGGGTGAAAGTCAACAATCTGCAGACTTATTGACAAGTCAATTGGATACAAGAAAACAGGTCTGCAAAGAAATGTAAATAAATGTGTTGCTCCTCGGTGTGTCTTTTTACAAGAATGAGCATAACTTACCTCACAGTTGTCCTCTATGAGCACAGCCAGTTGTGTTTCTCTCTTGTGCAACTGACTGACGTGCTTAATCGGGTCTGTCAGAGCATCTGCGTACTCTGAGAACATAAACGCACAACACCATGAGAAAACGACAAAGAATAATTTATATAATCATTATCTCTTTCATGATCAGTCCAAGTCAAGTCACAAGTCTTAGGGACAACATAAATCGTTGACCTTACCATGAAGAGGACCATGAAAAAAATCAGTTCTGTGTGCCTCATTTGATGAGTTTTTGTGATGATAAATAACTTGGTCATAACTTTTGATTTGTGGAATTCACTTATAAAAATAAAGTCGAGTAATATCTCCTGTGTTTTTCTCACTGATCAGAATGTCTGTGCCTATAACTCTACCTGCTGATCTGAATGAGAGTATTTGTCTTTAAACAAGGCTAACTGGAATAATTTGGACATGTGACACGCATGCTGGGGAAGAAAGCTCTGATCAGAGGAGGGGACAGATTTTCTGACCTATGCTTTTTCTATTTAGGCTAGCTGAAGTAATTTGTGGCTGCACTCAAACAGCTGTTCGTGTTTTTTTCACCTTTAAATCTGCATAGTTTTTATTTTTTGGGTTAAAGGTAGGTTAAGCCTTTTAGGAAAGCACAAGTCAGAGACCTTGTGAGACTTTGTCACCTTTGAACAAAACAGAGGGAGCAGCTGTTTCCTCCGTTTTGATCTTCCTGCTAATCAAAACTAACCAACTTTCTTCCTTATACTTCTAAAAGTTACATTAATCTTTTAAAATTATGGACAAAAAAATTAACAAATACTGTCAAAAACTGTCAGATTACGATTTAAAATTTACCCACATGTTGCTATTTAGATCACACGACAGCTAGTTAGCTTGAGCCAAAAAGGAAACTGATCTATTAGCTAGCTTAAATCGGTGGTGAAACAAAGCTCACCAACTTTCTTCCTTATAGCTTAATCCTTTTCATAGTTACATTATCCTTTTGAAATTAAAGCCACAAAAACTAACAAAAAATGTCAAAAACTGTCAGAGTACTACTTAAAATCCACCTACATGTTGCTCGCTAAAATGCATGACCGCTAGTTAGCTTTAGCTAAAAGGAAACAGATCTATTAGCTAGCTTAAAGTGGTGGTGAAACAAAGCTATAAGCCAACTTTTTTGCCTATTGCTAAATACTTCTTAAAATTAAAATTATTATTTTAAAATTACAGACAGAAACTAACAAATACTGTCAAAAACTGATCTATTAGCTAGCTTAAAGAAGTGGTAAAAGCAGTCAGATTAGTTGACCAACTTTAAGTAAAAAAAAGACGTTGTCTGTCTCTGTTTAAACTAAGTCAGCCAGCTAAGGTGGTTTGAGTTGTGTAGAGAAGTAAATGTGGATGTGGTCTTCCTACCCTGGTGTTCATTGGGGATGTAGTCCTGAGCCTCGGTGTAAACCAGCAAAGAGGGCAGAAGAAGAGGCTGGTTCAGCTCATTCTTCAGGTTGATGTAGTGGTAGCCTGAAATGGAAGAAGGGAAGACGAAAGAAAGTAATGAGTGACATCTTTGGATGAATGATGATGTTTCCACTGAGCACAGACATCCATCAGTGACCGCTTTGTTTAAACTCTGAGCTGTCTCACTGTTTCACATTTCAAGTGTGTTTATGTGTGCGGACTGACCAGGTCTGATGGCTGACACAGGGAGAATCCGATGTCCTATAAACTTGCTGTTTTCTTCAAACACTGCTATCCTCAGAGAGGCCAGTGTAGGGAGGATCACCTGGAGAAAGACAGAGTGTTAGTGCAATGGGAGCTTTAACCGAGGTAAAAAAAGAGATGGAATCATAGTACCTTGTTGAAGACGAACATGTCATCATCCCACACAGGGTCCAGAGAGTTCCCGTTGGACGTTTTGGTTCTGTACTTTCTTTTTGTATCAGAAGGAAGCCCAAACATGTCCACTTCAACATACACGCCTACTTTTTTATCTGTTAGGAACTGGCCTGAGATCACCTGGTGGATGTTTAAAGGATTTTTTTTAGAAAAATCAATTAATAAACAAAATAACCCATTCAGCTAAATCATAATAAAAAATATCCCTACCTTTATTTTGACAGTATTGGCAACTATCCCGTCCACTATCTTTTCTGTGAAAGGGTCAAAACTTTTGTCTGTCCTTCGCATGAACTCTGGTTTCAGCAGGTAGCCGCTGCGGCCGTTGTACTCAAACACACCCATGTTTAGCTGCATAGGGAGATCTGGAAAGGAGGAATTGAGAGGAAACAGGTAGAGGGGTTGAAGAAAGAGAGAAAAGTTGAGGGATTTAGTGGGATAAGGACTGAGATGCTTTTATGGGACCTCCTTATTGATGTTTCCTGAAATTTGGTCAAAACCATCATTAAAAAAATTTAAAAAATAAGCACCGTAACAAATCAAGAAAGGAAATTTTGTTTTAAAGAGGAGCAAGAGATTCTGTGCATTTTAAAGGCCATCCGAAGTTGAAATGACAGATCTTACCGAGAGTCTGGAAGTTTAGCGCCACCATCTGGCAGCCCACATCCCAGAAGAGCTGAGGCATGTAGTTGGAGCTGTCAACTCTTGTTCCTTTGGGGTAGATTCGGCTCAGCTGGTTCTTATTGTACCTGGAGGAGTTCTGTTAAGGGCCAGCGCTACTTATACGCAGATATACACAAACAATTTGTGTTTTAAAGTCAATTTTTTAGCTTTAAAGGCTTTTATATGCTTCTAACAACAGCTAACAGTAGGCGTCCATCTTGGTTTTCTGACTTGTTAACTGGAATGTCGTCAACTTGGGTGTAATGTCATTCCCAGCTCAAACAAAAACCTTCCAAGGTAACTGGAATGCAGCATCAAATTACTGCCTAAAGATGACGTTCCCACAGGAAAAAGGAGCATTCAAGGATACTCTACAAACTTTTCAGGGTAGCTCTTCAGGGTATCCATGCCTTTTGTTTCCACAAATGAAGACATTTCAAAAAACTTCTTCCTTTCTGGTGGAGAGAATCATTGAAATTAGTTAGATATCTTCACAAAAGTTGAAAAAAAAAGAGAAAGATTGACAACAAAAATCTACAAGAGTACAAAAATGGGTAAAAATTTAGTATTTATTTCCTTCGCTTCACATCTTCCCTGTATACAAAATAAAAGCATCTCTCTGCCTCTGCCTCCGCATACACACTCCTCATCTATGTCACTTACTGGTTGCCACCTCGAAGCTCTTGAATTTGACAGGTTCGATGTAGTTGACAAGTGTGGACATCTCCTCTGTGGCGTTAACCTCACTGCTGGCTGTACCCTGAAGGAAGCAGACACCAATGACCCGTCAATCAACCCAGAAGACCGTCAGACTCCCCTCCGATCTTTGCTCCTGATGGATCTTACCTCATCAGAGTTTGGCTTTTTCAGCTCTGTCACTGGTTCGTCCTCCTCATCCTCCTCACTCTCTCCTTCTCCTCCTGGTGAGATGCGGAAAAAAATATATATCAGGGACCACACTCTGCTGTCACCTTCAGTTATCATTTATTTATTTTTAACTTCACCTACCTATGGACTTGCGAGGCTCAGAGTCTTTGACCAGGCTCTCAGCTATCTTCTCCTCCCCGTTGGACAGGAGCTGACCTCCCTCACCATCATTTAAAGGACAGTCTACACAAATAAGAGCAATAATCAGCTTCAATTTGGGACGTTAAACTCAGTTTTTAAGCACACGTTTAAAAAAAATCAAATTTTCCTTTAAGAGCCTGAATGTTTCACACCTGATGAAGCACTAAAGGCTCATTTTCACATCAAAAGTAGGAAGATTATGCAAATTATGAATGCATCTGTAAGTGAAGTAGACAGTTATCTTAGCTCACCGTTGTTGGGTGACGACTGCTCCTCCTGTTCCCTGCGTCGTATGCTTCCACCACTTGATGGTCGGTGGTGGTGGTGCTTTTTCTTGTTTTTAATAAGGATCTTTCCCAGCATCTCCTGTGGTGAAGGGAGAGGCTGACCGGGCTCAAGCTGAAACCACATAAAACACATAAAGTTCAGTCAGATACGTTATTTACAAAAATAATAAATACTCTGCGTTGTTAAGTACAGATAGCATATACTTCAAGATTTATTTGGGGGATTTTTATGGCCTTTATTGACAGATTAAGGACAGTGGACAGAGGAGAGAGCGGGACATGATGTGCAGGAAAGACGTCATAGGGTGGACTTGAACTGGAGCCGCCTGTGTGGGTGGTGTACCTTAACTTCCAGGCCATCTGCACCCCCAAGCCTACTTTATGCCTACTTTCATGACATCAATAGTAAGATATTAAGATAAGATGTTTGGTTTTATTTTTGTATATTATTGTTATATTCTTATTTTTAATATACATTATTAATAATAAAATATATATTATTATATTGTTAATTTTATATATTTTTTATTGATTCTATTTTTATTTTATATTTATATTATTTTTGGAATTTTCCCCTGTGGGACTATTAAAGGAATATCCTATCTTATCTTATCTTATCTTATCTTACTAAATACATCATCAGAAAATCATGAATGCAATAAATTTGGGCAGAGATCAGTCTTACCGGATATTTCTCCAGTGGATCAATGAGCAGAGCATCTCCAAAGATGGTCCTACAGTATTCAGCCATCTTAGCTTGCTGCTTCGCTCTGTCAAAAAAAAAGAGACATTTTAGCTTTTGGACATTTCACTCAAATTGATTCATTTGGCATCTTGCTACAATAGTTTTTATCAATGAACCAAACAGCCAAAGGCAAGCTATGGTGGTTTGAATCTGCAGACAGACTCTGTGACTTACGAGTCTACGTGGTTCTCAAAAGACAAGATGACGGGATATGGTGAAGTTTTGAAAGCACTCTCTGCAATCGCTTCAATCACTTCCTGTAGTAAGAGAGAATAAGGACATTACTACAGTTCATAACATTGTTATGTGTTATATGACCTGAACATGAAAAGCATCTTCAAGCACAAAGTTTCTTTTTTAAGAGAGTGTCGAAATATCATTAGCTAAAAAAGGACGTCTATATTCAACATTCATGAGGTTTGTGCACTAAGGGTAAGGGATTCACATGTGAAGTTATCTTAAACCATCTGTGGAAGTGAAATATCCTGAGTTGGTTGGATGTTATTTACATGTTCATAAAAGTCAATGAATCACAATTTACTGTGCGAGCCTCTGAACCTTAATGCTCCCAGTATGATAAAGAATGCAGCTCTTTGTGTGTGGAGTTGTAAAAACTTTCATGATACAGTGATTTATTGAATCCTTTCCATATGATACTGGTTTTCTCCAGAGTGGAAAAACAGACATTTGTGTGGGTGGAAAGTCTTGAATGAACATGACACAAAAACCCTCGTAAAAATGCTGCGCAGTAGATATCACACAAGTGTAATAATTCAACTTCTGTGCTCAAATTCAATGACAGAAAGTAATAATGTTTGTACCAAGAAGTAAAAAGTACCACCTTAAAGGGGATCTCAGTGGTCATTGTAAACCCGTGGGTGATGTAGGGCTCTTCGTCTTGTGGCCGGCCCTTCCAGCAGTCCAGCTCTACACAGCGACAGCCGGTCAGCAACACCTGTCTGTACATCTCCACTGATGACAGGCCGGTCAGCTGACCAACTGCAGGAGCACAGACAAAAGAATGAAAGGGTCATATAGAGGGATATTCTGGCGTGAAATTAATTTATAACTAGAGAAGCAAGCGGTCAGCAACATTCATCTCTCGAGGGGGTGTCTAACTCGGTGTTACGGTGTGTTTGACCCTAAATTATTTTTACGCCGGAATATCCCTTTAAGGCCTAAAATACTGATGAAAAAGCTGGAGTTTAAAATGAAGCACAGAGAGTGTGTTTCTCACCTGTGAGGTACGTGTTGTGTGAGGAGTTGATGAAGTAGTGAGACAGCGGTTGGTTCATATCATCAATAATGTCCAGCCTCTCTGGGGGTACGACGCTGTTTTCCTCTCCCCCAAGATAGCGAGTGAAAGCCTGCAAACTGATCTGATCTGCAGAGAGACAAACAGAGAGAGTTCACCCTGACTACATATCAGTATGTTTCAGTTTAACAGACCAGCATCCATGTGCTCTCAGCAATCAGAACGATTCAATTAAGTCGTTGAATTAAAAGGATGAAAGACACTGATGAAATTACATCATGTGCTTTAAAAGTAATCTGAGCCAAATGAGCGAAAAAGGTCCAGTCATCGGACAAACAACAGACTCAGAGGGAGTTCCAGCTCTGTCATGGACACTGTGACCAGCACAGTGGATCACCTTACAGATTTGGGCTTAACAGTAATCTAGAGTCATAGTTCTGTTTTCCCTCGCTGTTTGCTACAGTTTATCCACAGGTGATAAAGCAAAACAAGTGAAATAAATTCATGAATGACTCTCGCATTCTGGATATTTAACAGTGAGGAAACTGAGACAGGATTGGTCATGTCAGCAGTACAGAAAAAAACAACCACTTTGCTGCAAAAACAAATGCCTGTTAGTCAGTACAGACCACTGCTACATCAGAATAAACAGACCCAAGAGGATGAAACATTCAATTATTGCTATTGACCAAAGTTCACAAATGTGTGTGTGTGTCAAGAAAAAATAAATCCAGAGTCAAAAGTTGAAACTGCGCATGAAGAATTAAATTAAAGTCACTATTGGGAGAAAAGTCAAAGGCTGCCAAGAGGAGACATTCTTGGTCAGAAGACATTTCTAGGTCAAAATGACTTTTTGTGCTTATCACTGTGTAAGTCACTGTTTTTAACAGGTCAGAGCCTTAAAAAGATGTTGATTTGATTTTTTTTTATATCCATGAGAAATAAAAGTGTTGATCAAGAGTTGTTTTAAAGTTGATCATTTCATTTATATTCTTAAACAACTGACAACAAAACTTATAAAAAGTTCCCTGATGTTAGTATTAAGTTATGTGTAGAAGCCATGAAGACCACAATCAAGGTAAAAGTGAAATTTATAGTTAAGAGGGTAGGCGTCACACTAAATCTCTTCTTTAGACCGTGATTTGAACATGCTTGAGTTTGTCTGGAAACTAAAATGTGAAATGTGGACTTTCAGCTGTACCATAAAGAAAATCTAAAAAGAAATGACAACTTGAGTTGAAAGTGTTCACTGGGATTGAGAAATCTAACTAAAAGGATGAAGTTACCCACCTCTCTCCAGTTGGCTTGTGTTGGTCTCATATTTCTCCATGGTCTGACGGACCTGCTCTCTCTTCAGTGGTGGGTACAGTACCTCATTCAGGCGGGAGTCCCGCTGCCTTCGGTTGATGAAGTCCACCAGCTGATCCAGAGAGATAAAGGGCTTCCCCTTGGAGCCGCTGGAGCATAAAAAGAAAGTTAGCACATGCCAAGGATCCTAAAGACATAACTTCAGCATCATTTCAAAAGGTTTTTAATCATGTTTGACTTTTGTTCAGTATTCAAGTGTTGTAAAGTTGAAGTCATGTGTTACATACCTTTCCTCAAAGATGCTTTGTATCTCAGGCCGCAGACAGAGGGTGGCGAGAAATTTCTGGAAGGCCTCCAACGTGAAATCATCTGGCTTGAGCCCCTCTGACTGAGAGAGCACAAAGAGTTCACTTTGAGTGAAGTTAAAGGTAAAAAGACAGAGGCCTGGTTGTTTCAGTGACACTTTACAGCTTCAAACAACACACTAACATACAACAAATTCCGTGAATGGCTGTAAACTGGACATAAATATCTGCATTTTGTCTCCACTTGGTGTGTTTTTCTGATATTCCAGCAGGAGGCGTCAGAGCTTTAAAGTATAAAGCGAAGTGCTGACAGTGCAGTTTGCACAATCTAGTCTCCTATTGAAAAAGAAATGTCTTGTGACTCCTCCAAACTGATTCTTTGAAGAGATTGCAACAACGTTCTACACACAGGAAATCGTGTTTTACCACCATAACCACAGTCCTCTGGTACCTTAAACTAAAAATTCAGGCAGTATTCCGACACGATCCCAAGGATGTGAATGGCTCACATTTTAATTTCCTCTTAGTTTAAAATGATTTGAGGTTAGTCACTTCTGAAAGTGAAAACTGAGGACTTCTTCTAAAACTAGCATTTAATGCAGCTTGACCAAAACTCCACAGAGTTTTACTCCTGGATGTTATTGGGTTTAAACTCACTGTGTAAAAGTCACAAGGTAAAAAGTGGATATCATCAAATCAATCAGTGCATTCTCACATTAGTTTCAGCTTGACAGAAAAAAGTTCAAGACCGTCATTCCATTGCTTCTGAATTGCCCCATTCCACTATCTTTTATATATTCTGTATTCGTTACGGTGGAGTAGAAGTTAAGTCACCAAACCTTTAGGGCCATTCGAGTCTGGAGTTCTCTGAGTCCAAGTCAGAGAACATCAGAGACAAGGCTGAGTTGAAGTCCTTAAACTGAGTCTGAGTCGAACTAAGTCCTTGTTTGAATTATGAATGAAGTTAAAGTGCTGAACATAGACGAACACCGCACTTCCCTCATTGTTTCTGCTTTGATTTGATCAGTTATTCTCTTGGCTGCTAATGTTACCATAAGCTTTAACAGTGAAAGTAACTTTGGACTCGAGTCTGAGTTCTGGACTTGATACTATTACACAGCTCTATGGTATCAACTTTATTCCTAGGAGTGGATTGGGTTTAAGTAAAATTCTTGTACATTTAGTGGCTGAAAACTTATTGCTGAAAATGTTTTAAAAGGAACAGCAAATCCAGATCAAGAATCTCTACATGGTACGACCTTTTTTTTATGAATTCAGCTCAAAAAAAATTAAAGAAACTTGAGAGTCTTGCTCTAAATCAAAACTCAGATCTTCAAAAACTGCTTCCTCTAAGGCCTTCAGCTGATCTTATTCTCTTACGCAAAGGCATCCAAAGAATCCTGCAGCACCCCAGGGTGATGGACTCAGTCGTAACTATTGTCATGTACAAAAAGACTACGACAGAAACACACATCTTAAGTGGCCCTGTTGTCAGTGATGGCTTTGGATGATTACCCTGTTATTTACGAGGCCACACTGCTCCAGAGCCGTCTCCACTCTCTTCTTATCTGAAAACATCTTGAGGATACTGAAAGACAGGGAGTTGAGAGAAAAAACAGCCATTGTAAACAAATGTTTCCAATCATCGCTGAGTAAAAGGTTTATTTTTCTAAGTTTAATGTTCTATCAGCAGAGTCTGAAAGGATTAGATTTACATTTGTGACATTTATGAGTACAGGATGAGTTAAATGTCAACAGCCAGCAGAGATAAATGAAAGTAGAGCTGATAGTGAAAGTGGAAGAGAGCCAGAGAAGAGGAAAGGAAAGAAGAAGCAGGAGGTTTTGTTTTTTTTCAAAATGTGTACAGAGTTTAAAAAGTGGTTCATGTAAGTGTTTCTCACTTCTTCACAGGAATCTTCCCGTCCTGATTCACCTGCAGCTTTAACTTAGTGTACCTGAAAAAACCAGAAAGATTTTAGAAACCATTCCTTAACGTCTTCACTTGTTTCACACCCAGATAAGACCACTTACGCTTTAAGGAGGAAGGTGTTCCGTGATGCATTCTGGGAAAGTATATTCGTAGCCAAAGTGAACAGCTCATCTGTCCAAATCTACAAACACACACATGGAGAAGAACATAAAGCAGGGTTGTTTTACTGTTTGCCTGACATTACACTAAGTGATACAGTTTTATATACAAAGTAGAACTCACACAGGAAATAATCCCTCCTTACAACCCCTAAACACGCACATACACGCGCCTCTATGTCAACATCGTCAAGTGAATAGTCAGCACATGGCCTGAGGGAGGAAGGCCAAAAGAGGAGGAAGGAAGGAAGGAAGAAAGATTGGGATATCAAAAAAGTAAGGGGAGTATGCTTTTGGATGATGGGTGTAATTTCGACGGATACCTTCGCCGTATCTTCCTGCATCGCCTGGAAATTGAGGAAGGAGGTGTTGACAAGGTCGTTGCCATGGACGATGGTTACCAGCTTCCCCTCAACGTTGTCGCCTTTGCCGAAGCCGAGCACCTCCCTCAGCTTTGGATCCTGACACGCAAACACACATTTATTTATTTTTATTTTTCTAAATGTTGTGTAAGAATAACTTTCTAGGGCACAACACAGTTTTGTTCTGCATATATACATATATTTTTTTAATGTGCATGCTGGTCTCCAACGCTCTCGCCCCTCCTCAATCTCCGTGTCTCTGGAGAACAGTAAATGTGATGCATGTGGTGCACTCTGATCTAATTAACCAAATGACTGTTTCCTTCTTTTCAGACCACTCTTTCCCCACCAGCAACTCTGCCGGTGTCTCTCTATCAATTATGCATTCCATCCATGACTTCCTCTCTGCCAGCTCCCTCCATCATTTCAATTAAACAAATTAACTGCTGGGGTTGTTTATTTTAAAAAAAGTAGAGCCAAAGAAGTGCCAAAGTAGTGCACAGACTACATGAAGCTAACAGCTTGAGTTAAAAGAATCAGTGCAGCCAAATTGCAAACATTTTTTTCTGTTTTTTAAATCTCAAGAGCAACTCTTCTTCCCAAATTGATCATGTGCAGACCTCACCATTAACAGTTTTATTTGGAACTACTGTCCACCAAAGAAGTAGGTGTCATAAAACTGTCTCAAGTGTGCCCTGCGGATTTTCCAGAGCAACACAAACACAGCTCCTGAAAATCAGTAATGCTGACCTTTTTTAACCAGAGTCAACATTTTTCAGACAAAATGCAAACACAACATCTCAAAAACTCACATTTAGTCCGACAAACATTTGAATTTTCTCAGACTTCAATCAAATATATTCTCTGCAGTTCAGTGTCAAGCCATCCACTTACATAAACCTCTTTCAAACATGCACCGCAGTCCTGAAAATTTCCTGACATTGTCCAGGTTTGTTTCTTATTTGAACACAAACAGCCAAATCTGATCACCCTAACTTTACACTGACCTTTTCCTGCCATCCCTCTGGTAATTAGACTCTGTAAATTCAGTCTGAGCTGATGTGTGAACTCAGCGCACATGATAAAGTGCCAAGAATATTCACCGTGAGGTTGTGGGCAGGGTGATGAAATCATTGACACTAAGCAGATTTCTCTGTTTTATATACTGCTCACTATAGATGTCTGTTTTTATGATCTGTACCAGGACTGAGTACTTAAATTGATTCATGAATGCATGCAGTTTATTTATTCCCAATATAGTATTTCAGACAGTCCTGGAATCCGTTATTTCACAATTATTATTACACAACAGCACAAAGTCAGCTCCTAATATATAAACAGCTGTCATTGGCTGTCATTGTTTTAGCTTGATATATAAAACTGGAACAGAAGAAGACAGAGATAAATATACTTATATACTGAACCTTTCAATGAATCTCAACCATTTGAGCAAACACCACTCAAAGGTTTTACAGCCTGTGGTAAACAGAATGCAGCAACATTACAGCAGCATACCTAGACCTGCTTTTAAGAATAAAATGAGATAACTTTTATGATTTCATAAACTGAACTACTACAAGTAATTGACTTTTATGCCATTAATATATTCAAATTTAGGATTCATCATCAGCCCTGGGACTGAAACTTCTTTTGAAAGGAGAGTGTTTCATAAAGGAAAATAGAAAAAATACCATAATAAAAGCATGAAAGGTGAATTTTGTATCCTGCATTGTCGAACCATGCTTTTATTTTGAAGCATGCTACTTCTGGAACATCAGTTTCAAAAGTGCCCAATCAACTCTCAGAAGTAGCAGTCTGTCACTTCTTTTTCATCCATACTCTGTTTAATGACAGCGACCAACATAAAAGACCACTAGTATGACTTTAGGGTAGGGCTGGGCGATATGGGAAAAAGTTTATCACGATACATTTTTTTCCTATAAGTTCAAATTATATCATGTTATAAAAAAAATTACTTGTCAATCTTAAATGTTCCCTGTTATTCTTAAATGAAATGTAACAGTGCTTATTGGTAGTATTTCTTTTGCAATACAATAAGCTACTGCATCTGTGAGGTCTTTGTGTCTCTTCGAAGTTTTGTCGTAATGCGTTGCGCTACCGAAAGCGGACTGAATGGTCAGTTTAGCGCGGCACAACTCCCCTTTTCATCGGCTATTTCTATAACCTAGCAAAACATGGCAGAATGCCGGCTGTCGAAAAGCTTATTGACCATGTTTATATTGGTATTGAGGGAAATTAATTTTTAATTCATATCATTATCGTTTTATCGCCCAGCCCTACTTCAGGGTATTACCGTATGCTTATTTTTTGCAGGATATTACAAGTTCAATTTTTATCATCATGACTGAAATATGACAGCTCTCACTTGAATTAGTTGGTTTGTTGAAACAGAATAAGTATAAAAGATGAAAAATTAGAGGGTTTTTTGTAGTTTTGGTTGACTACCCCCAATGAGTGTTTAAACTGACGATATAATGTTTTTGTCTGATGTTTAATATAACTTTGGTGTCTTTCAAAGTTTAATTTTTGCACAACATCAGGCTTTGATAAGAGACGGCTGGCACTTATCTGCTCTCAGATAATTTATCTTTTATCTTCTTTTTTATTTTGCTATTCTTTACCCTAAACACAAAAATCACAAAAATAACACAATACAAATGTTTTTTATCTCATGTAATCTGATCTATCAGCCAGCCCTTTGTTGACTCGACACATCCGTATGTTTGAACTGAGCCGCCAATGACCTTCCCTGAATTAGCTGCTCTCTCTAGCAGATCATTGCTCTTACACAATGACTTCCTCGCCAACAGTCGCTGGTTATATCACTTCCTGTCTGATGGTCCATCTGTCAGTGGGCTCATTAGCACTCTGTCACCTTTGTACCATCAGCTGAGAGAGGAAACACACGCATACAGAGGGGATGCACGCATCTTTTGGTGACAGTCACACTTGAGCATCACATTTTCGTTCCAAGGACAAAGTTATCAACAGCAGGAGGTGACAGCTTTTTTTTCCTCCCTTGTTTCCTAACACACACACACACACACACACACACACACACACACACACACACACACACACACACACACACACACACACACACACATTACTGACCTTTGGCTGTTTGGCGTATTTTCCTGTTCTGGTGTCTCTGATAGTGGATATATCCAGAATCTCCACCTCCTGAAAGACAAACAGATGTCAGTCAGTCAGTCCCTTGATATAAAAAAAAAAAAAAAACTGCATTCACATCCTTGTTGCGTCAAATTTAGATACATTATTCTGTGTTTATTACTCAGTTTATATGTCAAAAAATCAACAAGAGAAGGAAACCAGAAGTGAAGCTGTTCTTTGATTTGTTTTAAGTTAGTGCTGAAATGATGGTGTTCGATAAAAGAAGTGCATGATTCTTCAAAAATGTACCGTCACGACTTTACTGATCATTTTAAGGTAAACTGCACGCTTGATTCCATTTCTTGAAGTTCTTATAAAGTCAAAACATACACTCACGTTGCTCTTTTTACATGAGAAATATGTCTTGCAGACTCATCTGCAACCCCAAGTAATGAAAAATAGGCATAGATGTTAAAATGCTTGTTGTAAAGCAGAACTACTCATGTTTACACCCTAGTCTATGTAGCTTTTTGTTTTACTCCTTCACACTGTGCAGAGAGTAAATCCATTTATAACTCTTCTGTTTTAACTGTTTATGACTGAGAAATACACACAGATTTGCATGATTGAGGGCACGTCTTAACTGACTGAGAAGGCACACTGTTAGGCTAAATCAACATTTCCAACACCAATTTTTGTGACCCACTTTGGTGGACTCCAAAATGTGTCTTCAAGAACAACAAGTCATGCTACTGTACCATTTCCATGTTTCATACAGACTCTGAATTTGACCCTCCCAAAAAAAATTATCCAAGGTGGTCATAAAGCATTGGTGTTTTTGTATCTTGTAAGATGACTTATTGATCTTTCGGACCCACCTCCAGGACTCTGGTGCCAGATATTAAAGCTATAAATTAACCTGAAAAAATAAAAAACTGGCAGTTGGATCCATCTCCTTGGAAGCCGTGGGACTGTAAGCTAGCAGACAGTGACAGTTTGCTCCATTTGAGTCACATTCAGCATGTACATGTTATATTACATCGTTCTAACACGCTAGCTGAGTTAATCAGTTAACTTGTATATTAAATTATTTACAGAATAGCTGTACTAGCAAATATGTTTTCAAGTAAATATTCATAACACACTTTCTTTTCTGTAATGTTTACATGCAGCCTCTTCATTAGCTTGCTAGCAAGTAGATTAATGTTATTCACTAAACTGTTTCATTATTCCTTTGGTGTTGAATAGTGATGGGAATCGAGAACTAGTGCTTGCTGAGAATCGGTTCTGAATGGTTCAATCCATCGACATCATTTACATTTTATCGTCACGATTCCCTTAACGATTCCTTTCTCCCGTGGCTTCATTTTACTAAGAAAGATGACAGCAGGTTTTGTACGGATATTTTGAATTTGTGTAGTGTGGACTGACTGAGTTAGAAGCATGTAAAAAAACACTCAACCCGATCCAAAACACCCTCAAAATTTTGTGCGTAGTAGTGTCCTCTTTTGGGGATCCAGAATATGGTCACCCTAATTTGACTCAATACCAACCAAAGTAAATGCTGTACAAATAGTTTGTCATTTGATTATTTTTAGACTCACTGAAGGTGGCAAACATATTTTTCTGTTATCAGAGACTCAATAAAATTTTGAGTTAACAGTGAAAACCTATAGTCTATTTTTTTTTTAAATCAAAGAAAGGCATTGATAAGGGAATCTTTAAAGACTCGAATCGATAAGCAGAGTCGATAATGGCATTGATATCGTTAAAATCTTATTAATTCCCATCGCTAGTGTTGAACAGCATAATGCATCAACAAGTCACTCTGAAAGAAGCAAAATAAAAAACAATGACAATATTCCTCATTCTGGTAAATTCCATCACATTTGGGAGACTCTTCAAAGTTTGTCAAGATTCATAAGGCAGCCGAAAACTCCATAGGTTCTCCCACATGTCACTTCTGTTGTCAAAAGTAAAGTAACATATGAAGTTATAATAAAAGTAGAAAACTGATCCCTTTATTTATTGAAAAAGTTGGATTCAAATAAGTAGATAATGTAGGGAAAAAACCACACCACTGTTTTGGCAGTTTGTTCATTTAAGGTAATTGGTCAGATACATCGATATGTATTTTATCTGGACATCCAAACATATCAATAAGTGTTAATCTTTGCACCAGTATGAGAAAAATAGAAAGCTGTTTCTGTAACACCTCCCCTGCAGAAGTGGTTTCAGCTTTGGGCTTTATGATATCAGATATAGTGATTTGAAATAATCAGTCTTGTTATACTTTCATGTATATGTGATGCATCATTATTGTTATAACAATCCGGGGTGTTTCATGACTAGCTAAAAAAGTCCCTACAGATGCTTTAAAATACAACAGCATACCTGGAAGACAGTATTCTGGGCATATTAGCACTTAGCTCAGAGCAAAATCTTAACTGAAAACAGCGCTAAAGAGCAGCTAGCTATTGTGTCAACTCCGACATTCATAGTAGTGGCATGACAATCAATTCTGAAGCTTTTTTTCTGCCTTTACAACTCATATAAGAGGCAGCCAGCACAAATAGTGATGACACAGAAGTTTTCTGCATAGATGGGAAAAAGAAGAAACACTTGAATAAATGCCGGTGTTGTGATAAATTCTTCAGGCGGGAGGAGTTTATGGCCTGACTGGGATTTCTCCTCCCATTAAACCCACTTTTATTTATCTTTTATCAAACTCTCCTGCTTCTCTGGACATAAAACAAAACCGGTGACAAATGAACTGTGTGTGTGTGTGTGTGTGTGTGTGGGTGAGACAATGGAAAACAGACAGAGAGAAAGTTTGGAAGGAATTCTGCGCTCATGCTCTGTGGATATCTTAGACATAGCCTGTGAGCAGATTTGCATGACCGATGCTGTGACACAAATACACACATGTATGCATCCGTGAATATGTAAACAGAGAAAGCACACGTTGGGAAAAGATAGGCAAAGTGTTATACAATGTTGCAGCGAGCAGAGACAGAGTGCTCTGCAAGCTCAGATGAAGAAAGACACAGAAAACTGGAGTGAAGCACATGAGGCGGAGAGTGCAGTCATAAAACCGGCCATAAACAGAGAGGAAGACACACTGTAAATATTTGTTTAGCCCCACACTCGTCCCCCAGGCAGTCCAACTTCATTTCAGAGACTAACATTTTCTTTTTCTGCTCGCACTTCTCTTCGTCTCTATTGGCAATGAGTGCATTCTAGGACAAAATTAGCATTTTTCCCTCTATCCTTAGATGTTTCATTAATGGCAGAACTTCAAATATTAATGTCACTCATTCTTTGTATCCCTGTCTCTGAATCTAGGACAGCTTGTCAGTTTGTCAAACGTCTTCCTGTCCATGTTCAACCCAGATTTCCTCTCCAAAAATAACAACAAAGACAACCTCAGAAAGTAACACTCCCCGGTTAAAGTTTTGAAACTCATCTCTTCCACAATCTTCCTTATGTTTGCGTCACTCTCCAAGTGATGTCATCGCCCTGCTGTCCCTGCGCTCTCTGTGATTGGCTGCAAGTAAAAAAGGTCAGAATGTTGGACCAATTACATCAAACTCTGTCTGAAACTTTGTCCTCTGATTGGCCTGTGGAGAATAACATACTTCCTGGGAGAATAAAGCGCTTCTGGGTCTGTGGGGCGCGCACACACACACACACACACGCATGCACGTACACACACTTCCTATCCCACAGGCCATGGTTTCATTCTACAACTGCCATGGTGACTCCCTGGAGACCACAGTAATGAGACTACAACTTTAACTGCCATTTGTGAGTCTGACAGTTAACATTTCTCACTGCTAACACACTCAGTCTTACACACACACACACATACTGCAGGCAGACATATCCTCGACATGCAGGTCCTGACTTGTGAAACATCCTGACCTGTTGAGCAAGACAGGGTGTAAGCAGGAGTGTGTAGGTGTGTGTGCATGTGCGCATGGAAAAGGCTCGTAAGTCAGGGCACACTGGAGGCATGTGACACAGAAATCGAGGCGATTCTTCAAGTACAAATGTGTCAGCATGTGATCAGAAAAATGTGCGAGCGCGTAGTTAAAACGAGTGTGCGTTTCCGCACATGGATTGTGTGTCTGAAAGCGCAACCTGGTGAGTGGGCAAGTGTGAAGGTCGGTCATCTTCTGAGCACATTCCTGACATATTCTGGCCTTCTGCTCAGTTAGAGTGTGTGTATCTGTGTGTTTCTGTGTGTAATATTTAGCCAGTCATGGCAGCTGTAGCCCTCCATTCATCTGTCAGTGCTAAGCCCAAACACCGCTCACTCCATTTATCACCTCCGACTCGGCTGCAGGCCCATCCTGGTCTCAAATGAGTCTGGATGACAGTTTCCCAGGAGTCATGTTGTGACAGAGAGCTACAATTTATTTTAATTCACTGTTTCTGGTGCACTGAAGGACTTTTCTCTCTCAGTCTGCCTTGTGTAAGTCTGCTTCAGATAGTGATTTCCTTCATTTCCCAGAATGCACTCCCTTATCGCTTTGAACAAATATTAACTTATTGACACCTGCTGCATTACCAACACATTTTTTAAACTTAACATGAGTTAATTCTCTTCCCACAGCTACCCTCACCTCTTCATAAAACATAATGCTGATCTAATCAGTATAAAATAAACAACTTTTTGATGTTTTTAAGAGATTTTGTTACTCGTGAGCAAAACCAAGCTACCTCTTTTTGAAGCTGTTTTCTGTTTGTTCGAGAAGCAATGATGTCAATTTAGTGATTCAGATGAAAATGTAGAATCTGTCACATTCACATACCACTGGGTGCAGCCAGTGGGGGCAGATCAGGTCAAGTATCTTGCCCAAGGACACTTCAGCATTTGGACAGCAGGACCCGGGATCCAAGACTAACTACTACTGAGCCACAGCAGCACCTAAATACATGCCTCGGACTTTCTAGGGGATGTAATCAATCAAGAAATGATCATTTGATTCTGCAGATACATCTTGTTTTCAGGTATAGTATTCAGCTTTTTTCAAATTCTTCAAATATGACATTAAAATAGCTGTTCATGTACAGTAGTCTCAGAGTTAGGGCTGGGCGATATGGCCTCAAATCAATATCACGGTATATTGAGCAGTTCAGTTTGATAACAATAAATAAAGGATAACTACTCCACAAACTGCTCACCCCCTCCTACATTAACTTCATCTACAACTTTTGAACCGTCCTCCATCCACTCACCTGTCTTTCCCTCTTTGTTACAGACTGGATGGGGTGGAGTCATGTCTCTGACGTAGGACAGCATCTTAAAGGGACATGAGACCATAGCCTACCGACACACATCCAAAACCAACTTTTACTTTTTTTGACACCGAATATACTGATATGGGCAAAATGACATTGGTTATTGTTGTAGATTTCGAAATCAGTAAATTTTCGGTTTATCGCACAGCCCTAAGCTCAAATACATTCTTTAATTTTGTAGCCTGCTGGTTGATGCACTCATGATACAGTCGCACAAAAAGACGGTCCCTTAAAATGTGACCTCTCTCACTCATCACTGCTACACCAGGACCCTGATACACACAGTGCTGCTGCTGTGGCAAAGATCTACCTCCAAAACTCCAACCTCCGTTTTACATCTGCACTCTCTAGTCACCCTATAACAGTGGTTCTCAAGTCCAGTCTTCAAGGGTCCTGCATGTTTTGGATGTTTCCCTGCTCCAACACACCTGATTCAAATGATCAGTTCGTTATCAAGCCATTCCAGAGCTTGATAACGAGCTGATCATTTGAATCAGGTGTGTTGGATGCATAGCATGCTGCTCAGCTAACCTGAGGAGCCACTCATGGCATTAAATCTATCATAAGTAAAATATAGGTTTGAATACTGTAGAAGTGGGTGCAACAACATATGACCATCTGCATGCACAGTGTCAGCATAAATCCTGCTTGTTGGTGCCAAGCAGAACTTCTTTGAAGCACATCCAAAATCAACTTTTATTTTTTTTTTTTTTACACCAAATATACCGATATGGGCAAAATGACATTGGTTATTGTTGTAAATTTCGGTATCGGTAAATTTTCGGTTCATCGCCCAGCCCTACTCAGAGTTGCCTTTTGTTTCGCTGCAGTAGCATGTATCAGTGGTTTGGACTGGACAATGATTATTAGGTCAGTCTATATATAGAGACTTAATCCAAGTACAGTTAATGTGAAAGTGACTTGATTAGGCCCACATTCACTCACTCCTTTCCTTCCTGCATTTCTTTGATTGACTTTTCACTTCCTCTCCTCCCTCCCACTCTGCTACTGTCCTCCATTCATATTCTTAAAGATCAGAAAAATAACGAGAGGGCAACTTAACAATCAAAAGACCGCCACTCCTTTCCCGTGACGCGCCTGAGTGTGCGTTTGAAAGATCACCGTGGCTAAATATGTCTCGAATGACCAATCACAGCCGCTATCGAATGGCACATGATGACGGCATATAGGAAACCGATCCTCTTGGACACACACACGCATCATAAAAACACGAATAGTGCCAGGATAGCATACATCTCCACCCTTTGGTGCAGAGGAGAGAAGACGAGACTTGGCCTTATTAGAAGAAGACTTTAAAAGACACAGGAACATGGGAGAAGTAGAACAAAGAGATCTTCAGACTGGTTTATGGCCACATTGGGAGAGTTAGCGAGGTATTTATAGAAAGAGAAGGACTGACACTTAATACTCCTGTGAAGCACAGGACAACGCCGTAACTTTGTCTCCGTGTCACCTCATAATATGTCTTCTAAGTATGTTAATTACATCACGCTCTCCCTTTTTTGTCCTTTTCCCACTAACTCTAACTGTTAATCTTCTATCTTCTGTTTCATATTTCAGCAGTCTGAGAGTAAACATTTCAACCACTTAGCTGACAGGATGGTTCATAGTGATCTGTAATCTGAGAAATATTAATCTCCACAAAGAAGAAAAATAGGAAGACTGCAAAAGAGTTGGACTGATAAAAAGTAAACAATCAAACATGAAAGAGAAATGAAGTCCAAATTCATGAGAAAAGGGAAAGAAAACATTATTTATGAGTGGAAAAGCAAATACTAAGTCAAACATCACACACATAAACAGCACAGTCATACCAAATGTCTCCAGGGTGCTGATAAATAAGGGCAGAATGCAGCCAGACACACACAGAAACCCACACTAAGTGAAAATAGTTGCACTAATCACAAATGTTCCCGCAATATACAAACACACAGAAGATCAATGGGATTGAATTTACAACATCCGGAGTCAGCCACAGCCCACACACACACACTCGCACAAAAACACACAAACACACAGATTAAACAGAACATGAAAAACAGACAGAGACAGGATGGAGAAGGTAGTTGTTTGTCAGTGTACGTCACTTTAAGGAAAACTTTCTAACTTTGGGGAAAGTTGGATGAGGATTTAAGTGAGACTGTTTGGCATGTAAGACAAATATGAAGAGAGAGTGAGACAGCGATTAGCCTTGGTTTATCACTTTAAGACAACCTGTCAGGGTGTTAAGTTAGTACAGGAATAAATCTGAATAAAGCGAAAAGGGACAGCAGAATGTGTGTAATGAATCAGTCAATTTTTGCTTTCAGCCAAAGGAAGGTTTGAGGCTCTAGGTCAGCGAGAAAAGCCAGAAATGTTTTGGCTTCACACTCTTTCATGCACAATGATAGATTTTACAGTGACATAAGTTTAAAACATACATCTGCCAGGGTTGTCCTTCAAAGTGTAATTTCTTCTCACATACACACAGTAGTGTCAATGGCTACAAAGCAAAAAAGCAAACTTTCATATTGACAGTCTAAAGGAAGCATCTGCTAAGAAAATAGATTTGATACCGCAGACTGTCTCTGTTCTTTTATCATTACAAAACTGTCATTACAGTACGTGTGTGCGTGTGCGTGTGTGTGTGCATGTGTGTGTGGGAAAGTGAACATGTAGGCTGACATGTGCACACACCGATAATGTCAACAGAAAATAAAACATGTGACCAAACGCAGACAGGGGAGGGAGGAAGTTAAAGTTGAGTGTGACTGACACATTCAACTTCCTCTGCTGACCAATCACTGATTGTGTGTGTGTGTGTGTTTGTGTGTGTCTGTGTCTGTGTGTGTGTTATGTAAGCCCCTTGTTCCAAGTTAATTCCTTGGGGATATTTGACTTGAGCCCTGGAGATAATCTCCATTAGATCTCTACTTATACCTGCCAACAGTCATTCCACTACAATTCAGCTGGCCCACTCAAACTCACACATACACACACACACACACACACACACACACACACACACTCACACTTTGAAAGTACTCCCAAGCTTGGCATCCCCACACACCAAGTAATACCAGTCCTACTCCATCAATGAAGGGCTATTATCAAGGAATTTAAAATGTGTAGTTCAACCTGTGAACCATCCAACTGAAAATGAAGAGATAGTTTTAGCAATTAAGTGATGATGTAAGACCTGGCAGGGAACAATGCAGATCTGAGCTAACAAAATCTGAATATTGCCGGTACTGTTCACCTTTGAGAAGATTGAGTTAAATTTTATATCTCTACACTTGGTATAAAAACTGACCTCAGTAGTTCTTAAGAAAAATCTAAATAAAGGCTGCAAGCAGTTGTGAGTTTGGCGCCATCCACCAGTACAAATATAAGTATAAAAAGTCATTCAGTTGACGGCTGTTTATGCTTTTCCATTTTAGCTCCCATTTGAACTGAAATGGCATATTAAAAATCCTGAGCACGTCCTGCTCCCTCTTTGATGGAAAAGTAATGACACTGCACTTTTGAACGGCACATTTTATTTTGAAATACTCCCAGACAGCTCAATTGACGAGCCAAAAGTTAATGTGCACTTAGTGTCAAATGAAATTAAGATATCACCAAGTACTTAAAGTTACGGCTACTACCTATGAGCTAAGCATTCAAGTGCAGCTAAGAGACTGATGTCAGCAGGCAACAACATCACAAATGCCACAGATTAGAGATGCACCGATCCATTTTTTTCCGATCCAATCCAATAACGGTACCTGGGCTGAACGTATTGGCCGTATCCGATACCAATCCAATATCACTGTTGGAAGAATGAACTGTATACCTGTGAGTGAAGGCATCAGGCTTGACATTAGCCTTGTTTAAAAAAAGTTAAAAATTAACACAGATATAAATTTACTGAATATTATTTATTAACAAATAACAAATTGCACAGTAGCACACAGCAAAAAGAAGTTGGACTTCCACAAACTAATTAACAGGATCAGCGTCATTCATCAGAAATCCGATCCAGTTCATTTGTCAATGTCGGAGCCAATATCTGATCCAAATATTGGCTCAGTGCATCCCTACCACAGATCTGTGACTGCTAAATGGGTGGCAACTGACTCCAGGCAGGTAAGGACTATAGAAGACTTAGGCATGTTGCGATATGCCTGCCAATCATGGGATACAGAAGTGTTAAGACTATGGTGGCCAGGAAGAGTCAGGCAATTTGCATCTTCAAGATCCATTGTTTTGCGATCACCTCAGTAATCAATGGTTAAGATATTCATTTATTTAATGCTAATCCGTGTTAAAAGCCTAAACCATTGCTGACTGAGATCATCCCAAAACAATGTTTATTATAGTGGAAATTTGCAAGTGAACTATAGTTTACTTATTTTTCCAACCCTCCATCCATAATGTGTCCGTCAGTAATAACAATCCGTCATAAAAAAACATTGGTGGTAGTTGGTCCATTTCTGTTTCCGTTGTAAATGTACCTCTGTCGTTTGCATTCGTGCATTGTGGCTGTTTGCATTTGTGTTCGTTTACATTGCAAAGCGTTTCAAATACGCAAATCCCCTGACACTTCCTGGCTACCATACAAGACCATATAGGATGTGTATAAAAGCAAACAAACTGAAACTCCAGAATAGTGCAAACTCTATGCTGCAATAACCAGGGATTATTGGGCATCAGTAAATTAGCTAAACTACTGCACACCTTCACAACAATGGATGGAGATTTTGTATATGCACTCTGGCATATCTCCAACTATGTTACCCTTAAAAAAGAATAAAAAGGCCCTTTTAACACAGAATAAACACATAGAAGCTGTCTCCTTTTGCTAAGCCGTGATTTCAAACCACAAAGGTGCAGCAGTGCAGAACTGATTTCAATGCTAAATGTAAAAATCAAGATCATCAGTTTTTTAGTCCATATAAATAATTTAAAATAATTCTAGTAAGTGTCATGATTTGGGAATCCACCAAAAGTAATGAAATGTACTTGATCGGAATACTTTTTTTTTTTATAATCAGGGGAAAAAAAGTATTCTGATTAAGTACATTTTGTTATGTAGCATGCAGATAGCATAGCAAGCTAGCTCGCCCATGTCTATAGTCCCCACAGGGGTCACTGTTTTGACCATTTGCTGCATGTCATTCCCTCTCTCTATCCAACGTTTCCTGTTTCTCTCCGTTGTCCGATTATTAAAGGCAAACAAAACACCCAAAATAGTAACTTAAATAAGCAAACTTCATAACATTTGGTTGATTCCCAAATCAAGACACTAGTTAAATTAATAATATTAATATGGACTCAAAAACTGTTTTGAATGCATAATAGAATTTTGAAAATCAGATAATAACGAATGCAATCACTCAAAATTCACTGTCTAAATTCTGCAATTGATGAGGATTAAAACAAGATATTAATCTTACAGCCAAAATAGATATACATTTGCAAAATCAGTCAAACACAGTACTAAATGTGTACATGTATAAATACAGACTTCTAAAAACCTCTCATTTATGCTTACTTTTAAACCCAAACTCCCCACACTAATGAGCCACACCTCTCCTCGTATTGGACTGACATGGTTTAAACCACTCTCCCTCCCTCCTCCAGTAAAATGTGCTGACAGATAAATAGCCCCCCAGGGTGTTTGTTAAACTCCAATCACAGGTAATTCCTGACACATTGGAGTCACTGTTTGTTTGTTGTTTCCCCACCCCCAAAATCTGGCCAAGGTATGTGAAATCAATTCAGCACAATTAGAGACTAAATTGGAGCTCTGTGACGACTCAATTACATCCCTGAGGGCGAGTGTCTTAAAGGCCAGGTGCTATTGACATGACCTGTCCGGCTAAAAAAAGAGGGAGGGCGGGAGGAAAGAGAGCAGAGGGAGGGAGGAATCCAGGGAAAAGGGAATTTGTGGAGGAGGAGAGGGAGAAGAAAAAGGATGGGGGGGAAGAGAGGGCAACAAAATTCTCCAGAACCCCCATCACCCCCGTCTGAGTAACTTCCTGCCCATTTTCCCACGCAGAGGGAGAGAATGGAGAAAGATTAGAAGTGTTGTTGCAAGAAATTAAGGGGCAATAACTCTAGTTGGAAGGAACTACAGAAGAAATGGTGTAGATGACATGATTAGCAAGAGGAAGGAGGAGGAATCAGAGAGAAGATGAGAAGATGAAGGTTAGAAAAAAAGACAGAGGATACAGAAAAAGCAGAGGAAGAAAAATAGCGAGAAAAGATGGAGAGCAGAGAGGGAGGAAGTGTCATCCTTCAGTTTATATTATAGCAGCTCTTGCTTGGTCTCTCTGTGATGGCTACCAGCTGCCCCAAGACAAAGTGACACCAAAGTAAAAGGTATAGTCAAGAATGACAAATTAGAGACGGTTAAAACAGGGTAAGAAAGGGGCGGCCAAAGTAAAACAGAAGCAGGGGGATTAGCTGCAGTGCCAGGTGTTTGATTCTCACTGTGGATGGTTAGCCTGCCCTCCTCAGGGATCAGCTCTAAATCAGACAAGTCTGTTCATCCATTAGAAACCACAATTTAGCCGACAAATTAGCTTTGCTGGCGAAAACAGTGTGGAAAAACAGCATGTTCAACAGGGAAATCAGGTGCCATGAATAATATGTGGCCTGGTTAGCTCTGCGGGGGCTGTGAAGAGGAAACCAGTCTTTACATAAGGTTGAAATCCACACAAATCATCAAACCACAGTGTTGCATCTAGTGTCTATTCTCTGTTACCAAGACATTCACTTCCCAATGAATGGAGAGTGAAATGGAAAATTAAATAAGGTGGAAAAATCTGATTCATTTTTAACACAGCTTTCATTCTGTTAGTGTCATCCAAGGCACTGCATGAGTCCAACCCACAGGCTGTTTAAAACATGGATGTGGACTCAGTAACATCACCCACTGGTTTCTGGAGACATGTTATGGTGGTCCAGAGATGGTGGTCCTTACATAGGACAATGCAAAGAGGTAGAGTTAAAGGGATATTCCGGCATAAAATTAATTTAGGGTCAAACACACCGTAACACCGAGTTAGACACCCCCTCGAGAGATGAATGTTGCCGACCGCTTGCTTCTCCAGTTGTACCAACTTTAGTAACAACTGCACGATAGCAATACACATCGGTCTGAGGAGCCATAAACAAACCTCAACCAAAAAGCCAATCTATAGCCACAAATAATGCTCAGAACAGCACCTAACTTCATCAACAGTACATATAGGGTCCCAGCCACAGCACTAGCCACCAAACGTTTTTTTAGCTTTGCCTAATTTCTTTAGCAAAGAGACTAAACACAAATCACTCACTCTCTTCCAGCAGCCACTTGTTTGTACAGAGACCTCTGGGTGAGTCCATTATGGACTGCTGTGGGGTGACGCAGCTCAAGGAAGAACATTTATGATCATTACTTTGTCATTTCCTTGAAGTAATAATCATCATAATCATTTTGCACTGCAGACTAGTGCTGGACGATAATTCGATAACAATATATATCGATCGATAGACGTGTGGTGCGATAGAAAAAAAACGGGTCGATAAAAAGTTCGATAGAAAAACACAGTTTCTCTTTCTTTTTCATCATAGCCTATCATGTAGCTTTTACTACAGTCATTACTTCCTCCCAACCAATCACAAACGCAGACCCAGGTACGCTACGGCACCAAGCCCAGCCCCTATCAAACCACAACAGACAGCACGTGTATTAGAAAAAATGATACAGCAAGGAGAAGCGGAGGAAATTGTCCCGAAAAAAGGTTTCAGTAGTTCACCAGCATGGCAATGTTTTGGTTTTAAGAAGTCTGACAAAAAGCGAACAGCAGTCGTTTGCAAAATTTGCAGAGAATTAGTAAAAACCAAGTCTGGTAACACAACCAACTTGTTTTACCATCTAAACCGATCGCACCCGCAGGAGTACGAGCTGTGTCGGCCGCGCCGCGGCTCCACGTCATCGTCGGAGGAATCCTCTGGAACCGCTGCCAGCACCAGCACAAAGCATGTGAAGCAGACCAAACTGGACTTCGTTTCTTGCCAAAATACGACAAAGCGTCCGAGCGGCCTAAGGACATCACCCATGCAGTAACATGCTCCATAGCGAGGGACATACTGCCAATAACTACCGTTGAAAAGCCTGGCTTCGACCAGCTTCTAGCCACTCTCGACCCGCGATATGAAGTGTCCGGCCGCAAGTATTTCTCAAACACAGCGCTTCAGGCATGAAAATGGGTCAGGGGTTGAGAAGGTGAGAAGGGTGCGGAGGAAATACGTTCCGGTGTAGCTTCTTAAAGTGGAAGAAAATTAGCTCATATTTTACAAAGACGCGAGTATTTGGATCATGGCTACTAGCAGGGGGTGCATTCGGCAGGGGTGCATTCTACGACACAACACCGGCGTGGATAAGTCCTGCTTCTCGTGCTCAGTTTGCGTATTAAGTCAATCACATGATAATTAAAAAAAATAAATCTCCTGAACCCGGGAGAAATATTTCAGTGTTCAGACACCAGGCTGTGGGCAGTTTCCCACACAGTTAAAACTGGTAGTATGCTATTCCCACCTAAAGCTATTCTGTTTATTTATATATTTGTTTATTTTAATCAAAAGACTATTTAAATATTTATTTATCAGATTTTCTGGTCACTTTAGTCTTTATGTTTGTCAGTATTTACTGACGTCACTCAGGCCACTTAAGTTGATTTCTTTTTTTTTTTTAGTTCTTTTTTAAAAAACTTTCAGTTGTGGTAAAATAAAAAAGGTGGTTGAATAAAGGTTTGAATTTGAATTCAGTGCTTGTGTGTTCTTTATTAAAAGTAGGTCATTAAGCAATAGCATAAAACATCCAGGGCTGCAATTAAAATATATGTTAAATAATTATAACAATTATATCGATAATTATCGATATCGATCAATATGATTTATTTTTTATCGATATGCTTTTTTTCTATATCGTCCAGGCCTACTGCAGACCCGGTAGTTCTTCTGCCTTGGCGTCTCAGTCTGATTGCATTGCCACAAAAAAATGACCAATGAACAGCACCTAACGTCATCAACAGTACATATAGGGTCCCATCCACAACACTAACTACCAAACATCTTTATAGCTTTGCCTGATTTCTTTAGCAAAGAGAACAAGGTGAGTTGAGTTTGAGTTGTGAAGACTTTGTGACAGGTATCTTGGTATACTGGGAGACTGCTACACTGTGCCACACTAAACAACAAATATTCAAGGAGAATTAGATAAAAAGATAAAGAAGGATTAAATTACAAAAAGATAAAATACCTGCAAAGATAATGGTTAAGATAATGATGATAATAATGCTGCAGGAGTGGTTGAACAAGTTTCCAACAACATTTCTAAGAATTTGTGCTCACTACTGGAGTCCACATAACTTCAGCAGATTCAAGCTCACGACAGCGGCTCTCTGTGCAATAAAACAATCAACAAACTCTCTGTAGATGTGAAGTGAGCAACAGTTTTGGTTTAAGGTACTTTTTAACCTTTTTGGAGAACTCCTTCACCCCTCTCCTCCATCTGTCACAACACGGCTGTCTCAACCTTAAACATCTAATCTTGGGTGCAAATGTAAAGAGGAGGTGGAGGCTGGTTTGGATCAGAGGACATAAAAAGGACAGGCACAGCAGGATTAGCAGGAGGGAGCGAGCATATGTTGTAACAGATGTGTGGATTTGGGATGCGGCAGTGTAACTCTTAGCCACTGGCATGTAGTTAGCATTCAGATTTTTAGCCTTAGAGAGACTTGACCTACCAACCAGCATTGGGGATCACTTTCAAAGCTTAATGTTATGAGTCCACAATGAGGGGTCACATCCAAGGGTGTCAGTTTGTTCCGAAAAGTGGTGGGGACTTTGGAATGATGACTATAATTGATTTTACTTTTGGTATGGCTACTATAAAATGCGTAGACTTATTTCATATGACCAACTAACGTCCCCTTGAATATATTTATTACTCATGGGGTTAAACAAGCAAACAAGTTTTCTAACTCACCACGGGTAGTATCAGAAGAAAAAGCACATTCTGGGTCGCAGCTTCAACTTGGCACAGACGCAGATTTGCTACAGCTGCACGTTTTTGTTATCCTCTGAAGGTCTGCTGCGGCTCTTTGCAACTCTGATGAATACGGATGGTGCGTTCAGTTTCTATACTACTGAAAATAACTGGGGTAACAATGGCTTACACGTGAAGGATTTGTGTGATATTGAGACAAAATGACCCCCTGACAAAAAGTGTGTTTGTGTGTGTGGGGGGTGACGCATATGGTCACAACTACTGACTGAATGTAAAGATGGACATGTTTCAACCTCCTTATTGTTATACAAGAGTGAAGCCAAAATAATCCTTTTAAAGGATGCTGACTTTGCGATCCCACACTGGAGCCAGGGTCTGCTAGTAATGATTGACTGGTGGAGCTGCAATTCTGAAGTCCTGTCCCTAAAGTTTGACCTGTGTCCCATATGCTAACATGGAGGAGGCAAGCTTTCTGACCTTTACTGCAGCCAGTCAATGAGAGGGGCTCAACTCTTCCTCTTAAACTGTACAACTCTTGTCACAAGTTGTACACACTTAAAAATAACCACATTTTAATTTTTTTATTTACCAAAAACTTCTTCACTTTTATGAACAACTTCAATAACCTGTAGGGTATATTGTAGAGGTTTTTATTTTGGTACAGTCAAACATTAGCTCCCATGTTTGCCACACTGCTCCAACTCCATCATCCAAAGTGTTTCTGCTGTCCGATGTTCATCTATCCAGCTGAGCATGAGTAATTCAAAATTTAGAAAGTAGTGAAATATGGGCTGTTTAATCGAAGCTACCACTTGGAACAAATCTGCTTAGGTATAAACATATAAATTAGCAAAGTGGGAGTCCATCTCTCCAAGGTGCTACATCAAACAGGATCATCCGTGTTACAATAACATTCAGCACAGCCTGTGTGTTATGTTACCAAGTCCTGGTGTCATTACTTTTCAATGTTTTCATAAATTTCAACCCCCGTGAACCCTCTTTGATTCATGCCAGCAGAGCACCCACAGAAGAACAACTCCTATAAATCACAAGTGTAAAGCAGCATTCCAGCTTGATAAGTTAACTCGTTTTAAGTTTGAATATGTTACTGATCATGTTAGTGAAAAATTAATCTCAAAGTGCAAACACTGTCGTGGTTTTAATAGTCTAGACTTGACGGACAAGAAGACAAACAGCAGTGAGAGAAAAGGAAAGAAAAACAGTGCAGATTTGTGCAGGGAGGGGTGTGTCTCCTTGTGTCACTGCCAAACCTCTGTGTAGCTGTTAGTGTGTGTCTTTGTGTGTCTGTGTGTGTGTGTCAGCGACAGTTGGTTGTTATCGCAACCAATGACTGTAGCATTATGGGAAATTCTGGACTCTGGGTACACAAAAACACACATCAGAAGTCTCGCATGTGGAACCTCAGCACATTAGTCAGAGACGGAGGGAGGAAGATAAAAGGGAGTGAAGGAAGGAGTGAGAGGAAGAGAGGGAAAGATGTTTAAGATTAATAAGAGGCAAAGAGGAAGAAAATATCAGTCACAGCTTACCGGTCAGGCAGGAAGAGTCCTGTAAGACTTGGTAAGAAATGGTGTGAGGAAGGAGACAGAAACTAATGAACCTCTGGAAAAAGTATAGATTTATTTAAAGTAAAATATTAAACAAAATGAGGCCGACACAAAACAGATGGGGCTGAGTGAAGAGAGGGAAAATGGATGGAGGATGGAGAATCAACACAAGGAAAGAACACCTAGAGGAAGGTTGCATTTTCAGATAGGGGGGGTGAGATAAACCAGATTTAAGAGGAAGAGTTGTCAAAGAAAGTTAAAGATGGGAGCGGAAGATGAGCCAAAAATGTCCAACAGGAATGAAGACGAATGAGAGACGATTGATGGGTTACAAGAGAAAACCTGCACAGGGGTCTTTCAGTTTTTTCTTAACACACAAGACTTAATGTCAACCAGCATAATGACCATGTTCTATCTTAGTGCCGGAGTTCTCCAGATCATATTTTACTCGATCACCTGATGTTTTTGACAGCATTGTGATCCACAGTCCAAAGAGTCTTGATATGAAACAAATGGTAGCCCCTACAGTGCAATCTCCAGATGCTAAATCCAGAGCTTCTAGTTTGGAAACAGAGGTAAAGAGCTGCAAAGAGAGTGGTTGTTATTTGGTGCTTTGGTGGGATCAAACTAATAAGGAACTTTCATGTAGAGTAATAGTTTCTAAGCTGCAGTGCTGCCAGGCATCTCCCACCTAAGACTGTAGCTCCAATAAGTAGCTACTGCCATAATGCTTTAATGCTCTACTACCTGGATGTAAACTAATGGAGCCCTGTCCTGCAGGCCGGACCCCAGAAGTAGAGAGGACGATAGCAGATTGCAATGATCGTAAGAAAACCAATCATGATTCTAGCTTTCATCATGTCCCTAAAGACATTAGTATCCAAGAGCTAAATAGCTCCTATGTTACCTGCTGCTTCTGCTGCACCGGCAATGTTAGGCTACAAGCTATAGCGTAAAGAGGAGTGTTCAGAGCACTGCTGTCTCCGCCCACAATTTCAAGGCGAATTGCTAATGAGCTACTGTAGTCTGCTGAAGAAAAGCCCTTGAAAATGACACAGGTAACGTGAATTTGACTAAAAACTTTTTAAATCACAATTTAACAATTAAACACTTTAAGTAAATTGGATTCCAAATCACACTGCTATATTTGACTAGCTAGGGTAACTGAAAGTTTGCTTTAGAAATCATGTACGATTGTAATCTTAGAGGGAAGCTTTCTTTTCTCTCTTTTCACATTTTAGGGCAAAAACAATCAGATGTCCTTACATGTCCTGGCTAAAATTACACTTACAAAGCCCTATCCAGTTCCACTCACTGATCGCTTTCACAGGGGAGAGCACAACCCATCGTCAAAAAGGGAACACAATCCATCATCTAAATGAGGAGAATCTTTACATACAAAGCCAGATGCTTCTATTGTTTGACGTATTAAAAGCAGACCATCCAAAATAAAACTAAAAAAACCCACCTGGAGATCTAATATTTTGGGTACCTCTATTCAGAGAAATGGGTTCCATCCAGAATACCCATGTCATCTGTGTAAAGGCGTATTAACTGTTCCCATTAATAATAGCTGGATATCTGTGTTGCAGTGTCCTCTTTCTTTTCAGCTCTGGTTGGAAATCTCCTGGGAAGCCACAACGCTGAAATAAAGCTTCATTACAGTCGCTCTTGGTTCACTTTAATTTAGGACCTCTTTGAAGCCACAGTCCATTTCTATAAGTGTTTTCACATTAAAACAATACAGACAAGCCATGTAAGACTCAAAGAAGGTTTGAAGGGTGTGTCTCATTTCTCAAGTCCAGATTGTCTGGGAGCCAGAGAGAGTTAGACCTGCATTATTGAAGAAATTTAATACACAGAAAAGCTGAAGAAACAGACATCACAGCATTAGCCACTCTGTGGGAAGCGCGGTTCAAAAGCTTCGACTTTTTCTATCTAACATCCACTTGTTACAAAACTTCCAGAGAAATCATTATCATCTGTGACCTCACTTCATTCATATTTTAAGTCCCTCGTTTCCTATGATTGGTTCGCATAGTCGGGATGTTTGGAGGTCTATTTCAATTTTTGTGGCTGTGGCCTGCAGCGAGCAGCTTTCCCGCTACTGCAGTTAGAAGAGTGGCCACAATGCAGCTCAGTTGTGCCAAGATTAACAAAGATGAAAAGCTCTCAGTAAGTAAGTCATGAAGGAAAAGGCAAACACTGCGGCACATGAGGCAAATGAGGTGGCACCGGTGCTGCTTTTTTTTCTTGTGTTTCCAGGGAAGCTGCGGGAAGTTCCTCTGACTTGGGAATTGTTTTAGTTTCGAGATAAAATCTGACACGGGGTTATGAAAATGACTAATTTGCATATCTGAATCCGAGAAAGCAAACATGTCAGAGCTAGTTTTTAGAGATGTTTCACCTCAATTTCTGCAACCAGTTTTGCACTCATCAGAGTTTTCTTCCTCTTATTTTCTTTTCTCACAAAAGATGCAGTTTTATTTAATTCCTTGTTTTTGGTCGTGGATCATCGAGTAAAAGCTTACAGTCATTGTACAGTTCATCTTTATCTACGAAAAAGATATGACAGGGGCCGACTCCCTGCCAAATAGTGTCACAGTTGCACCTCAGGCGACAAATGGCCTATTATCTCACACATACACACACACTTACACACACACACACACACACACACTATGTGCATGTAACAGGCACAAGACATCAGGATAGAATGAGTATTTAAAGCCTGTGCCTGTTATGTGAGTGCATTTCCACATGCTGACACACGTGAAGGAAGGCACAAAAGATGACGTGTATCTCTGGCCAAGAAATGTATACACACACACACACACACACATATACACACTTTAAACAGCACACATACACACACAGACACAACGCAGTGATAATATTGGCTATCAACTGGTCATTCCTTACATGCCTTTCCGATAAATAGATAGCCAGAAATAAAGAGGACAGTGTGTGTTTGTGGGTGAATAGACACAAAGAGGGAGAGAGAGAGAGAGAGAGACAACACAGATGAGAGATTTGGATGGGAGAGTTTTGGCGAGTTAATTGAGCTGCTCTGAAATGTCATTTGATCCAACAGGCCTCACAAAATGTTCTGAGCAGACCGTCATCACACAGACAAACTGTGCATCTGCAGACAGGAGATAGATGGTGGAATAAAGCCAAAAGACAGAGAGGCGATAAAGCGAGATTGGGTTTTGTGTTTATGAGATGTTTATTGTTTATGCAAATGTTGAAGAAAGTTGTAAAAGATTGATATAAAATAATACTGAGATGTTAAATGATTCTCAAATTTGAACAAACTTGGTATCTGCACAAAACAACCATGGTTAATCATGTCAGCTGACTGTCTAAAACCCCCAAATTCACCACCATAAAATGATGGAGCCAGTGGTTGGTGGTTGATTTGACAAGGATGGAGTGAAATTAATGGATCACTAAAAGGATAAAGACCACAGAGAGACAAAATGAGGAAGGAAGAGCAGACGAGAGCGGAGATCAAGACAAACTGATAAAACCCTCGTCTGCTGAACTAATGGACTAGATAAACCACAATAACAGACACAAAGATATGTGGTAGAGTTAAAGGAAATAAAGAAATAAACAGCGAGGGTTTTATCCGCAAACGCGCTCATGTTGATGCATTACAGAATCCATTGTGGTCTGCTTTAGAGTGCCCATTTATGTCTGATCTTGAGATAGACGACACTCCATTTGGCTTTCTATAGGAACAGCCTATGAGGCGGTGTGTAAGGATTTGCATATGTTAGTGTGTGTGGTTGTGAGTCTCACCAGGTTGGAGCCTCCAGTCCAGTAGAGGAAGAATCCATCAGGGTCAACTTTTAGGGTAACCAGGGTGGGGTGTCCGCTGTTAGGCTCCTAGACGGCAACAAAAATAAAGACGTTAGCGGGTTGAGCGCACAACAATCAACAACCCGTAGCCAGCTTGCTTTAAACAGAGCTAAATTATCCCTGATTTCAACAGTTTATGGAAGATGGAGGTGTTTGAAGCCTCTGCTCTACTCTCATGGAAATCTATAAGAACGTGTCAAAATATAGCATTCAGTTAGCTTGAAAAACAAAGGTGTATCGCTCTCTTTGCTAATGCTAACAATAAAGAAAACTGTTTAGAATTTAAGAATTTTGCCAAACTATGTGTGAAGAAATTTTCAGACGTACTTACAAAACAAAAACTGTGGTTTTTCCACTTGATCCCATCTGATTGAGATTACATTTGTTGAAAAGAAATGCTACAGAATAAAGTTAAGTTGATTTGAGCACTGTTTAGCCAAAAATCTCAGATAGGACTCAAACTGAAGGCTGTCTAAATGTTTTGTCAAACAGATTTCATTTGTGGTCCTGAAAGGTGTATATGACATAATAACATCTGCGTATGGACATGAAAAGCCTTATAATCTAAAAGGAAAACATGGAAAAACCGCAGAAGATAGCGATCGCAGTAGTGGTCGAGGCTGCTGTTACATGATATCTTACCAGAAACAGCCAACAGCCAAAAACAGACGGTAACATTGTGCACTATGTCCACTGTAATGTCACAGCTTACTCACAAGCTGCAAAATGACGCCACAGTAGCCAGTGTCAACATGTCATTAGCATCATTTAGGGGTCAAATGCAAGATACTATGACCGCACACGAAAGCACTCACAAACACACAGCTACTGCACCTATAATTAGTGGTAAGAGCTCATAGGACAGACAAACACATCGCCCAGACATCCTGACAAACAATGGTCCAGATTCAGAGTGTTTGTTGTAACAGAGACAGTGAAGGATGACTTATATACACAAGTGCATCAATATCAGCATCATCATCATCATCACTGTCAGCTGAGAGGAGAGGAAGATCTGCTTGGAAATCCAGAGAAATTGTCAAAGCACAAAGGACAGATTAAATGAATCTAAAAACTTAGCATTGATTATATATTTAATCTTCTTATAGAGGATTAGACAAATGAAAAAGCTAAGCTGATATGTAAATGGTTATAATTTCATATGTGGCACATACATTTGCAAACACAGACTTAAAAGCTGTATGTCATAACATCAAATATGCAACAGCGTGTAGCAAACGATGCACATCAATCTGTCAGTGAACTTATCAGAGCAGAATACTGAGGCACAGACCAGCAGATGACTTTTTAACACTATTTGTTGACTCATTCATATACTCACAGTAATCATGCTCGCCTGGGTGTAATTAGTCAGGAACAAAAACAAGTGCAAAAAGAAATGAATGACTCCAAAAATGCAATAACAATTCAAGTAATTCTTGTACGCTAAGTCATTCACTTCATCATTCACAGTTTAGCTGTAAAGCCTGGTTTACACTGACTATATGCTGTGGCCTGTGCTGTCATGTGCATCACAAACTTCTGTTTTAAGAGTGTCTGTGTCGCTCTGCAATTACCCCCCAAAACACAAGTTGGCAGTGCATTTTTCATGTCATATTGCCAGCTTTCAGTTCCACCTCACATTTCGCTGCTTGTTTGTGCACAGCAAACCAAAGTAACTGAAGCTGAGTGCATTATGTTGGAGTCATATAAATTCCTCTTCGTGAACCAGCAGGTCGACTTTGTACCGTGGCTGAGAAGAATCGTCAAAGTGAGACTCATCTCGACTTGAACATTGTTGTTTGTGTCGCTACCCAGGAAACCAATCACAGGGCTTGCTGTTTGCTGTAGTTTTATGCATCTTTACATTTTTCAGGTGTTCTTCAAGCTGTGTATGGAAGTGTCTGTGTAGGAATGGGGCTCCACTAACAAATGGCATAAACCAGACTCTACATGTCATAACCAATAACAACCGTGATTAATCAAAAACATCATTTAATGTTGAAAACATCTCAATAGAAATATTATAATTGAGAGTCACTAACTTGCCGAATGAAAATCAGTTTAGCTTTGCTTAGCTAGCTTGGCGCTGTTTGAATTCAACAATGTGCTAACTAGGACCCAACTGATTTATCAGCAGGCTGATTAAATCGGCCAATTTTAGCCCATTTGAGACTAATTGGTAATCAGCCAAAACTCGCAGATTTTCGCTGATATTTTCAGAAATAAAATGCGGAGAATAAGATTCAGTTTTACTTCGAAAATGTTCCGCCATTTGAAAAGTTCCCCAACTTATCCTGTAGATGGCGCAGCTACCTCATGACAATCCACTAACTACCTCACAGCACAGCAGAGTGACGGATCTTTAGCAGGCAGCTCAGGGACGCACAGAGGAGAGTGGTCCGCCTCAACGGTAATTAAACTAGTTTGTGAAGTACACAATAAGCCAACATGTTTCAGTTCGACCCACTTCACGATGTTTCCCACTGTGCTGGTCCAATTAATCGTTAAACAATGAGCGTGGTCTAGACCTGCTCTTGTTCTTTGAAAAGCGTCTTGAGATGACGACTGTTGTGAACTGGTGCTATATAAATAAAATTTGATTGATTGAATCAGATTTTTTTTCCCCCTAATAATCGGTATCATCGGCCCCAAAAAATCCATACCAGTCGGGCCCTAGTGTTAACGATACTTACAAGCACAATATATAACTTAAACTTATCAGTTTTATCCTTACAAAAACAAAAGTGACACAAAAAGATTTTATAATACTTCAACTACTACCTTAAAGAAGTTCCCTTGTATATTTTTCTCCTAATCCTAAACTAAACATACCTTAAGTTTAGGCTCCAAGGTTGGCTAAGAGAGAAAGAGTTTGCAGCAATGGGGCATGTTTGAATTGGAGAAGAAACACAGAGGAGACAGGAGTAAGAAGATAGGGTTTCACAAAGGAAAAGATGTGAGGGAGATGGATAAATGTGGAATTAGAAGAGAGGTTGAAAAGAAAAACAAAATATCAGGAGCAGAAGAAGAGAGCATGAAGCAGTACTAAACAGTCCTGAGAAGACAGTTTCTAGTTCTTGCTAATACCTAACAGTGACAGTATAAATTCATGATAACCTTCTGGTGTGTGAAACTCAGTTCTATAAAACTATAATCTTTGATATGATTACTCTAGCTCCAACTTCATTACTATCTTAAGGCTGTGACCTGATGTCAGATTTTCTTTTCAGCTGGAGATTTGATGCCGTGAAATGTCAACACAGAACAGTTTCTGGAACTTCCAGGGATGCCTGAGCCTGCAGCTTTTCTTTGTTTATCTTTTGTCTGCAGAACGTGAGTAATTGCCAACATTTCCTCTGGGAGATCCAGATGTTCCCAGAGAAACATAACCAAATTCCATCTTATAAGGAGGGACGAATGCATGCAAAGCACCGTTTACAGATCAAAATGACTCATTTGGGTGGTGGAGGCAAGGGAGTTATTCTTACAGGTACTTTTTACTGGAGCTGTTCAACACAAAAAGTTATCTAATAACACTCCTGTGGCAAATTTACTTTAGAAAAGGCTTCAAAAAACTGCAAGGACTACAACAAAAGTCTTAAACTGATTCAAGTTTTTCATTTCCAAATTAACTATTTCATTTGAATTCAGTTTCACTGTCTTGATCTATTATTGCTTGGAATCCATCATGAGTACAGTTCCCATGCATCCTAAAACACAACATTCACCTCAGTATTATAAATGATTTTCAGACTAGGAATAGACAACAAGTATTTATCAAAGTTTTGGAGATCATGTTCAGCCAAAACAGAGAGAACAAATACATGACCTGCATACCTGAAGTAATAGATATCCTTTCAAAGTACATGATAATAAATATGCTTTTCACTAAAAGTTCCACTTAATTAGCCTGCCTCTTAAACTAAAGGTTAAAAAGTTTGCAATCCAACCAGGTAATAGTGTTTTATGTGTATTTGGTGGACACCTTATCAACTCCAACAATCAATCTTCAGTTTCTTCAAAATGTACCAATGATTAGACAACTTCACAGCCGAGAGAGAGGAATTCATTTCTGCCTGGTGCTTGTGCAACTTTAACAGCTGTCTAGAAGTGTGTAGCTTCATAGCTAGAAAAACACCCAGGTCCAAGTGGCTCAGGTGATAAATCAAAGCTGCCATCACCTGTCTATCCAAGGGTTGGGGGTGTCACCGTCACTCCATATTGACTATTAGTTATTAATCAATAACACTTACATTGTTACCAAAGAGTGAACATTCATTCTGTTGACTGTAGGACCAAATAACTATACTCAAAATTATGGTATTGTTTTTTTAACGGAATAGCAGGTGGCATGTTTGTGTCCTCTGTGAGGTTGTCTAATGTAACTTTGATGTTCTTGTTTTTATTTCTTTATATCAGACAAAGGTAATATTTAAAGTGTGTAAATTAAAACTGATAAGAACCTCAAACGATGAAGCAAAAATTGGCCAAAATAATTTTATTTAGATTATTTTCTTTTTATATCTGAATCCTTTTTTCTTCATGTGTTGTTCTTTTCTCTCTAGAGTTCAGGATATCAATAGACTGGATACATCCAGGTTCAGCTTACACTTCACAGAGGTTGGGGATTTCCATTGGGAACAGACACACAAACACCTATTGTATATATACACACTTACCCAGAGGACTGTGATGTAAAGGCTCATGTAACCAGTGTTATAACAACATCTCCTAAATACTGAAACTGTCATGGAACACAGGCTGGACACACACAAACATACACATATGTGGTTGGGTATATTTGCATGTCGGGGGCAACCGAGTTTTACCTAACTGTTGCTCACTGTGGCGCACACACACACAAAATATGTCTGTCTGATATGTTAAATTATTTGCATGCTCTCTAAAGATTTCAATATGCATTCATTCACTCATATACACTGACTTTTAAAACCGGTTAGTTGAGATCTTTTCAAATAATCATCTTGTCCTAACTTGTAGATTAAAATGATTTGCTGTTTTTCTTGTTCTTGTCACACAAAACAGAAGTGTACTTGGTATTTTCATACTGCAACTTTTTCGAAACTTCTTTAAATACCAGCGCACTGCTCAAAATACTCAACACAGAAAAACGCTGTTTGTATTTCTTCTTTGCACACGTTTCTATTTCAGTAACAGCTGTGAAAAAAATCGATAACACGACAGCTCTCTCTAAGTTTCAGCTTTAGCTCTGAGAAAATGTTCAAAACCTTTCCAGGAAGTCATTAGTACACGGCCTCCACAGACACACACATACATTTGCTCACCACATACGTAAACCCGGTGGTGTTTTTCTCTATAAGAGTGTGTGTGGTATGTCTATAATTGGACCTCGACCCACTCCTTAATTAACCACCATATGTAGAAACCTTTAAGTCCCTGCTCACTTCCGTCCTTTGTCAGTCTTTTATGTCCTTTTCTCTTCGTATCAATCATCCCTTCACTTCGCCCTCTTCCCAACACTTGAATACTTTTCCTTCCTTATTAATGACATCCCCCTGTGCAGACTGCCTCCAGATGCCTTGACCCTTTGACAAACACCTTCATTACCTGACCATAATGTCAAACACACACACACATGGAGAACGGACCACCCTCTGAGGCTGAGGTCTTATATGGACAGACACCAGCCAATGAGCCCCTCTTAAAAGAAAAAAGAAAAAAAAAAACCCTCATCTATAAACAGCATACGCATGTAGAAAGACAAACACAGCTATTCTCTGTTTCTGTAGTAGTCTCCCACCAACAGACTGTCCTCGCCACAAATTAATGTGTGTGTACACTGCCAGTCAGGAGAAAGCCATTAGTGAGATACTGATAAAGGTGGCTGCTCTGAACGCACCTTTGCTCTGCTGAGATGCGTGTGTGTTGGCGACGGCACAGGAGTGGAGTCAGAACGAGGGTCAATGCACACTCAGAGCGAGCGAGCGTTCTGCTTTGGCAACACAGCAAAAGTTGATGACAGTCGGTAACCTTTGGACTCGGGATAGAGGAGAGGGAAGGGAGAGGAGTGGGGGGCCAGTGAATGTACCATGAAATACAGAACAGATACAGAGAAACTAGCTGCTAAATGCGGGTATTACAGAGATTTATAATATGTAGAATATCAAGTAAGGATTATTTACTGTAGGTGACGCATATCTACAGGCATCTGGGTAAAGGTGCTTCTCAGGTCGTGAGAAAACAAACTTGTGCAGCAGCCTAGCTCATCAAAATATAAGGCAGTAGGTTCCCCCCTTGTGTCATTCCTGGATGCAGTGATTTTTCCTAGAAAGTAACCTCTTTTGGCCTTCACTTTTACTAACAGGAAGGCTGAAGAGTATCAGGAAATATAGGAGAGAGAGTGTAGGGAGGAAATCCAGGGAATCTGAGTTTGTTTCTTGTGCAGCAATGCTGACATATTACATTGTTAAATGTATTTATAACTGCTGTACTTCCACAATTCATACTTATTGTGTTAGCAAGCTTTTCATTGTCTATTTTTATACACGTCTATATATCTTCAAGAATGCTGGTCGCTGGGTCAAACTCAAGGCTAATGCAGATGACATTTTATATTATTGATATCTTGTTACCTGTCTGTGTGAAATTCTTGACTCTGATTGGTCAAAAAATGATTACCAATATCACTAATTTTGAGACTTAGGGTGTTTTGACAACTGAAAGTCCGGACCAAGGCCTGTGTTTTTGTTACATTGTTTACATGTAGTTCGGTCTGTTTAGGTTTCACACTGTCATTATTGCAAATGGACTACGAGACTTTACATTACGAACCTAAGTGATATCATCCTCAACTACGCTCTTTGCCTGTCTCTGTAGTTTGCATTGATTGGTCATTTGGCTGGCCGGTGTCAGACCTCAACACATTGAATAACGCAGGTCTTGAATTATGTAAACATTAATGAAATCGTCATTCCTACCATTATATCATTGACGATTTTCAACTACCAGCAGCGACAACTTGAAGATCTGTACATGAGGCTGGTCCAAATTCGTCTTATAATTTTATCATTATGATGATGACTTTTTTGTTATCGATAGGAAAGAAGAAGAAAGTACGCAATCAGTAGAGAGAGTATGTGTTGTAAAAGATTTCCTGTCTTTGGTGCGAAGGTCCGAACCTTCCAAAATAATGATTTCACATTGGGCATGAACCTGACTGTGGTTCAGTTTGGTCCAGATTGAGACCATCTCTTTTGATAAGACCAAAAGACAGTCAGGTGAGGTTTCACCGCTATCATTTTGGTTCGGACCGAGCAGAAAAGTGCAAAAGTCAAGACCAAACGACATAAGTGTGAAAGCCCTCTTAACGCTTAAGAGTTAGCGTCCATATTTGTAGTAGTAGGAGTGAAAGCATGTATGTTTTTTCTACCCTTACTAGCTACTTTTTTTTCTGTTTTCTGCTGCTGTATCACTTTATTTTCTCAACAGGATTCATTCAAACTCTCCCTTTTTGCTTCGTCTAAATGAACAATTTAAATCCTTTGGGGATCACAAACCTAAAATCTGTGTCATGAAAGATTGAGGCTTTTTTGTGTCTTTTTTGTAAAACTGAAAGACCTTTCACCCTATATGAATGAAGACAGAGGTTAAACCCGCAGAAAGGCAGAAGGGAAATGAAAACAAAAAAGACAAGCAGCAAACTGAGACTGATGGAAGGAGGAAGAGAGCTTGACAAAAAGATGACGGGGAATGAATGAGGAAGAGAGTGCATGTACAGATACGGTAATGATAGCTCTGTAATGAATGGACAGTAATTATGAAGAGGGTGAAAGAGGAGGAGAGATGCAGAAGCCGTCCAGATGACAGAGCCACACTTCACATGTGGCTGTGGTTGACCCTTCACCCCTCTCTTTCTCCCCTCCCTCTATCTCTCCATCCCTTGTTTCTCACCAATCTGTCAGGATGTCGGCAGTGTTTCTCAGGACGGCGTCAGACCTTCACACAAGTCTGCTGTCCCTCCTCCTCTTCTTCCTCATGTCTCCAATTCTCATCTCTTAAATCAATCTGATAATGGCAAATTGCGGTTTGGTGCTTCAGTGTTTCTATCTAATGCTAAACCAAGACAAGCACTTACTGAAATTCAGACAGCAGGAACAACTGGAATGAAACTGGAGCTGGCTGTCGGGTCACAATGACACAGCAGCTCTGCTTACAAAAGAGATTTGTTTCCAAGGATAGAAACATTTTATTTTGATATACTGGCTGTCAAATCTCAGGTGAAAAAAACTTCCCAGTGGTTATGCAATCATTGCGCCCTAGATCTAGACTTTCAACAAATCATTTATCCTGTATGAAAGCATCAGTTAGGATGTTCTGAAAATAGCACTCTTATTTATCTTCTTCCAGGAGAGCAAGGGTCATTATGGGCTGTTACAGAGGATGATTTTTATCAGTGCTGTGGCACCATAAAATCATTCCATGGCATCCTATGAAGGGACTGTTTACAAAGATGAGAGCAGAAGATAGAAGGAGCTGCTCAGCAAGTCCAAACATGCATGTGTAAAACCAACATCATGGTGCAATGATGATTTTGCTCTGAAAAGTCTGTGTTTTATGAGGGTTTATTTTATTTTATTTTATTTATTTGGGGGGGGGGGGGGGGGGTAGTAAAATGCAGATGTTGTGGATAAAAAATACTCATGAACAGTGAAAGATTTTGGTGATCCAATTTTGGAGGAAACAGCCAGCTAGCATTTAAGTTTAGCAGCTTTCATTTTCAGTTTTCATTTAGTATTCAGTGTTTTGAATAAAAATATTAACTTATACCATAGACGCACCAATGACCAAAATTAGGACAGAGAACAACATTGGTTTAAGAGAAAATCATTCAGCTAACAGACAATTTTTTAACCCATGTTTTTGTTTAATACCCAGTCCCCTTCAACACATTATACTGTTGGACCTACATGTCTTAGCCTGGTGTGCTAATCTGACTTAAAGACTTACTGGGATTTTAGTTGAAAGAACATGTGAATACATTAAAAGCCCAGTTTCAGTTGGACTGACACAATAAATGAACTGGAACTTGTCTTTCAAACGGCATACTGCCTATCTCTCTTGATAGTCAGTGCGTTCGGATGCACAGCTTAATCAGACTAAGTTCAAAATTTTTTATTTTTATTTTTTGCATAATCTGACTTCTCTCCTTGTGCGCATATACATGCAGCTGATAAAATCAAATTATTGACGTGAACGTGTCCTCCTCCCCAAAACTAGGGGGCAATATGGGTCTTTCCAGCTGCACTGTTTCAGGTTGACCTCATACAACTGTCAACAACAACAGCAGGTTCGTGCCAGATGTCAGAAGTGGCTACAACTGCAGCTGGGCATTTTCGAGCAAGAAGATGGAGCATCGTACAGCGTAGTTTTTGTCGTACATGATGTAGGCGCTACTTTTTCTGTAGATGAGATGCACACTACTCCTCTTCACTGGTGTTTTTGTTCAGGGGTTACCAGGGTGTGGCGCACGTGCACATGCATTGTCCGATCATACTCCAACTACGCTGGTTACATGGTAGAACAAATGGAATTCTAATCGCATTATCTGGGCGTCTTAATCAGAGTTCTCCGACTCCAATCGAAGATCTCAAACTCCCATTATAGTCAGACTAAGGTGTTTACATGTACACAGTTGTCCGGTCTTAATCGGAGTACGGCATTAATTTGGTTTTCTCGAGTGTCATGTAAATGTACTGACTGTTGTACCCTGACACTGCCAATATTTCCTTTCACTGACATCAGTGCACATTATTTGCCAATATCTTTGAATAGCCTTTATTGATGTTCGATCAATACATCAGTGTATTTCCACTTACAGCCAATCTGAATCAATCAGCTTTTCTCTGATGACATAAAGGCAGCTTTTTTCTGGGCTAATGAAGTATCAAATGATCAGCGATAAATAACAACAGACTTCCTTTTCTGTAAATTGCCTTTGTTTTGCAATCCGGCTAGCGACTTCTAAAGAAAGACTGACATGGGAGATAAATGGACAGTGGGGTGTGTTTATGTAGCTCTGGCTCTGGTTTTCTGACCACTCCAAGTGCTTTTAACATTGCAAATGGCATTCACTCATTCACATCACATTTATACACTGATGGCAGAGGCTGCTATGTAAAGCACCGGTCTGTATTAAATGACCTCATATAGACAAAGTTGAGAGCACCCAGCAGGGGCAGTTTGGGGTCATGTGTCGTACCCAAGGACCCTTTGGCAGGATCCGGTTTTAAATCCATGACCTCTCAAGACATAACTGGCTCGACCATGAGTCAGAGTGATCTGTGATTTCTCATCCTCCCCACAGATAAGAGACTAGGCTAAGAGGTTTGTTTGCTGAGTTTGCATGAAATAAGTCGAGTGAATTATCTAAGAAGAACATTTCCCAACTGTGTTTGCTGAGTGTACAATAGAGGTGAAAATATATTAATGTTGACAAATTTATCTAAAGGTAAATCCTTATTACATGATTGCAGATCACTTCATTTTTAAGTAGAGGAGTGTGTTCCTGCTCAGCTTTCTTCACAATGTTCACTGTATCACCAGCGGACAGCAGTGGACAAACTAACAGACTTCTCTTTCAAATTTCCATACATTTGCAAGAAATCTGGGTTTTCATTTGCTTTAAGGTTTCCTTTTCCTTTGTATCTGACTAATTTCCTCTTACTGGCGATCGCCTCCTTTCTCTAGCTGTACAACACAGGAGGGAGTTTTATCTTTGTTCTCATTTTCATTCTCATCGACAAATACCAGAAGAAAATCCATATAAATGAAACTATGTTCTTTTGGAAACCAGCTACGGCATCGGGCTGCACAATTGATCACAGTTTTGTTGTTTTCTGGACATTAAGCATTAGCAACTGATGCAGGACAAAGCTAGAAATTAATGCAACAAATAACATGAATGTGAACAAGCAAGGCTTTCTCCCTCTGTGTGGTTGAGTGTAAAAACTATATAACTATACAAAACTATATTTAAAAAAAAACCTTTGCAATATTCAGACTTCAGAAAAATATGTTGGAAAAAGACAGTGTTAAACATAACGATCAGCAGCAAGGCATGAAAATTGTAAAAGCTAAAATAGGGCTGGATGAAATGGCCTCTTCTAATCAATATCATGATATATTGAGCAGTTCACCTCGATAACGATAAATGGACGATAACTACTCCAAAAGCTGCTCACTCCCTTCCACCGACACCGTATCTTACCTACACACATCCAAAACCAACTTTTATTTATTTTTTTGAGACAGAATATATTGACATGAGCAAAATGACGTTGGTTAATGTTGTAAACTTCTGTATCAGTAAGTTTTCGGTTTATCGCCCAGACCTAACCTCAAATGCTTTCTTTTAATTTTATAGCCTGCTGGTTAAATCAACATTTCTGATTACTAACCCACTCATGGTACAGTTGCACAAAAAGATGGTCCCTTAAAATGTGACCTCTCCCACTCATCACTGCTACACTAGGACCCTAATACACACAGTGCTGCTGCTGTGGCAAAGATTTACCTCCACCACCCCACCCTCCGTCTTTCATCTGGCATTGTGCTTAGGGCTGTCCCGATACGATATTTATATCAGATATCGGTCCAATATCTTCTAAAAAAAAAAAAAATGTTGGATTACACCGTCCTGCATCTAAAACCTCAGATATCAGTACTCCAAAACAAGCAGTCCATTCCAGACTCCACTTCGGCACCTCTATCTAGCAGCACCCAGATCCAGCATGCAGAGTCCACATAATCACAACAACAGTGTGTACTAAGGTACTAACAAGGTAGCAAGGAGTAGGAGTGATGTTTGCTGTGTGGCAGTATTTTTCATTGAAGTCCGAAAAAGACATTGCACCTGAGTGCAAAATTTAACATGCACAAGTTTGTCAATATCAGTATTGGTATCGGCCGATAATGAAGGCTACAATAACGGTATTGTATCGGAAGTAAAAAAAGTTGTATCGGGACACCCATAATTGTGCTTCCTGCAAATGCATAGCATGCTGCTCAGCTAACCTGGGGAGCCACTCATACCATTAAATCTATCATGAGTGAAATATAGGTTTGAATACTGTAGAAGTGGGTGCAACAACAAATGACCATCTGCATGCACAGCGTCAGCATAAATCCCACATGTTGGCACCAAGCAGAACCTCTTTGAAGCACATGAGGGTGGTGAAAACACTACAGTGAAAAATGCTAAGTCAGGGTGTTTCAGGAAGGAGAACAAGTGTCTGAACTCAGCTGAGTTTGACGAGACATTTACAGATAAACACCGAGGACAGCAGCAGGAAAAAAAAAAAAAAGAGTCTTTGGTGTCCTCAGCTGTTCCCATGATTATAGCTCTGAGTGAACTGCGGCGCAGCCTGCAAGTTCTGACAAAATGATCCCAACCCAACAACAACAACAACAAAAGCAGCAGCAACAAAAATGATCTCCAAATGCAGCATTTTATGGCTCATCATGCTGCAGTTACAGGAATTTGCACTAAATCCAGCTTTCACATCCAAGTACTCCATCCTGTTCATGAGCCACTTATATCATCCCATAAAACTTTCACTTTGTTTGTCAAACTCTACAAAAAAGGGGGAGACATTGATAATAGGTGTAAGTATGAATTATATCAAGGCTCTGAAGGGGAAACCAAGCTCCTGCTGTAGTCAAGCTGTCTGTCTCTGTTTTGTTAATTGGTTGTTTGGGAGGAATTTTAACTGAATTCCACTCGGGATTCTTCTAAATTGAATTGCGGCCGGGCTGCAGAGGGCGGAGCGGCAGCAGATGCGAAGAGGGAGGGAGGACAGGGGAGGGAAGGGAAAATGGTTTGGCTCTGGAGCCTCCAAAACAAGCTCCAACAGGAAGTCATTCGCCGTGTATCACACAAATCCAGAACAAAACAACCACACACACACACACACACACACATATGAGGACAAGTCGAAACACAGAAGCGAGACGGTCAATTAGGAACACTCACGCCCCCACTACCACTATACCACTACCTCCTGCATGACACAGTGTGTGTATGTCATCTGACGGGCCTACAGTCGATGACAGCAGCAGCTTAGTGACAGATGAGGAAAGGATTACACAGTTAGGAAAAGAAAGCGGTAAAGTTGAAGAGAAAAAATAGGAAAATAAATGGGATTAGGCCATGTGGAGGGAGGATGCAGAGATTAGGAATGAAGTGAGAAGAGAGGGATAGAGTCCAGAGTTTTGTTTTCAGGCACTGCACAGCCCTGAGGCACTTTTTCTGTGTGTGTTTGTGTGTGTCTTGATTCTTTCCCCAGCTTTGTCAAGTTTTCAGGATGGAAGCTGAACATTCAGATTACACAGAGGCTTATTCTATAAACCACATATCCTCAGCGGATAAGTATTTCTACACTAAACTTTTCAATTTAGCAACTATAAGTCTGGATTATCATCATATCTTTATTATAATCCTCGATATGCTCTCATCAGCCTGTTTTTGGCTCTTCAGTTATTCCTGTTGTCCAGTTTGCAAACATTCCTGGTGATTACTACACAAAAGAGACAAATTTAGTCATGCTTGATTCCAATGGGGGTCAGAGCTCTACGCAGAACTTTTGAACACTGCTTTTTTTGTATTGTGCACCCCAACTTTGAAGTATTCTGCAAGACTTAGGAAACACTGTCTTCATACCAGGCATTCAGATGCTATATTAAGAAATGCTCAAAGAGGAGTACATCTGAGTTAAACTCAAGCTTTCTTTCAAGTCTCCCTAGTTTTAGAATGTTTTATCAACTTTCAGGCGATGCATTTTCTCACTTTTGGAGATATTGGTAGAGTGAAGTCTGGCAAGCCAAGGAAGGACTAGTTGACTTTAAACCCGTCCACAAACATTTGTTTGTTGTTCTTTCTGAAAAGGTTTAGGAGATGAAGGGCATCTTTTTTCAAGACTATTAGCGAAGCCTGTCTCATCATTAACAAGGAGGAATTTTGGTTTAATAACTGTTTCTATAAATCTATCAGTCCCTTTTAGTTCCTTATCAGTGCATCAACTTTCACAGAGTTCATGATGCCCTCTTGAGTCACTTGGTTTTAGGGTACGCACCAACCTCACTCACATTCATTCTCCGCCAAAACGTGCCTCCTCAGTCACTCAGACAGGCGGAGTGGTGAAACATCCTGCAACATAGCTGTCTTCAGTAGAGGAATAAGAAAAAATGGGACTATGAGAGACTTGACAAAGATATAAGAATGGTTAACCATTAGATAGAGGTGGATGGATACTTACACAAGAACGAATATTGGAATTTTTTATATTTTATGCATCAGATTTCAGAGCCAGGGGAGTCAGCCTGAGGGTTTGCAAAAAGTTTGAAGCTTGGTTGTTCTTTGGTTGTACTTCAGCGTGAAGGACAACAAATAAATAGCCTTTTAGAAAGGTCAACAGTTACCTGGTTAACTGTGTGCTTGCTTTACAGAGTAAACCATTATAAGGAAAACTAGATGTGTATTATACAGTTAACACTGTCTGATCATGCTTTCTTTACTCTGTAGAATCAAGACTACAATTGCATGGAACAAGGACACATTTAGGTAATCATCAGTCAATACGGACACAAAAATCTGACAATAAGCAAGTGTATGTTTAAGTACCTGGTCCCTCTAGTTTCACTTTGATTATTTTTCTTCAACTTCTGGTTGCCTGTAAAGATATGTGTCAATCTTATAATTTCCTGATTTAAGAAGTCTTTTTTTAGCTGTCAGATATGGTGATGACTGATTTTCACACCACCATCAAGCCTCCATGATCTGTCTATATGTGTTTTTACTAGTATTGTTTTTATTGGTGATATTTAATCTATCTTTGTCTAATAGTCAATATTCTGATCCAACTTGAAAACATCATAATGTAACCTCATGTTACCTTATTCCGTAGGTTTTATTCTCAAGACTTCAACGAAGATTTGAACACTGGATTACAATCTTCGTTTAGCAGGACTTATAACAAAGTTTGAGGCAAAGTTCTGCATTTTGGTTTAATTTGATGTTTCTGTTAATAGTGTTTTTGTTCCTTAACGGCAACAAAAAATAATACACAAGATAAATTGTATTTGCATCCTCTCTTTTCTTTTGCTTTGAAGTGCAACACTTCTTTGCAAGTCCATCCTCACAAGCATTTAACCGATCGAATCTATCTTTGTATATTTTTTAAACTTGTTGGTTGGCAATTCAATTTTATCCCTAAACTTAATCAGACAGCCAAAGTTTGTCTGTGCACCGCTGATTTGATTCCAATGATTTGACTCCACTCGAGATGTAATGTTACCTTGCAGGACCCGTGAGACCTGACAGGAGAATCGATAAGCTCAAACTTCATTGATTTTTTGGGGTTTTCAAAAAAGCACAACTAGGTCCTTGATGAAACCATGTTTGCACCCTGACTCTGCCAATCTGTGCATGCTTTCTACCTCTCAGTGGGTCTCCTGCATACCCTGACATCACGTGCATCAACAACACTCACAACAAATAAAAGTCAGTGATGAAGCAGACTGAAAGAAGACTAATCCTTCTGAACCAGATAGTGTTTGTTGTTTCAGAGACACTGATTTTCAGATGTTTGTGAAGTTATTTTCATGCAGATCAAATGTAATAGATCAACTCTACATTAATGTGCAAAGAAGATACCGGAATCCAGATGTTTTTGTCTCTGGATTTAGCCGAATTCATTTGAGGATTTCAGCTCATCCTGTGGAGCACAATAGCAAAACTTATTGAATAATTTTGCTGAATAAATTTCTGCACCAGCCTGAACCAATCAAGAGCTTTTCCGGGGATTATGGATTTTTCTCCTTTACACACATCAGGATCTTAAGAAATTGAAGTGTCTCTTGAAACAAAAGAAATCTGGAAATCATTTAATGAACTTTATGCATTTTATTAAACTGTCATTTTTCCCTTCAGCCTTTTTCCTGTCTCCCTCACACCCCTCCTCTTTCTGAAGTGCCCTCTCTCTTTCTCGCTCTCTCTCTCTTTAACCATTAATCCCCCATAATTCATTTGTTGCTTTTTACAGGAGAAATAGCAAATAGAGAGGGAGATGGGGTGAAAGGTAGGATAAGCATGCACATGTTTGAGAGTGTTCACACACTAAATCACATCCATAAGCATTTCCTGGGAATTCCCTTTGAGAGAGACAGACAGCAGAGAGACTGAGACAGTTAGTGTGTGTAGGAGAGAAAGAAAATCTGAGGGTCATGGTATTCACTATTTGCGTGGCAAAAACAGACACTTGGTGTGCATTCAGCACTCTAAAATGTGTGTATATTTGTTGGTAATATCTTGTTAACCCTAGTACACTATCACCGGATGATTTTCACCCGACCAAACATGTTTACGTGATCTTCATGATGTTGTGTTTGTCTGAGTATCATGGGTCCCTGGGTAGCTTCAGCATTGCCTTTGACATCTTTGAAGGCATATTTGTTTCCCTGATCCAAAACCTGCTTTTTCCTACAGGCACGTGTTTGGGTGATAGTGATAGAGGGTAAGTAGGTTTGAGTGGATTTGATAGCTGCATGTAGGGAATAAATTCAGTAACAGTAGTCCTGGAATTTGAATGCTATCTTTATTTAGCGCAGTAGTTATGAATAACTATCACAAAGTAGTGATTTTCAAGGGGATTCATATGGTGATAAGAAATATTTTGTCAGCTGGTCATTTTCACTCACTCAAAATACTTCATATTTTAGTTCTCTCTCCTGCAGCTGTTATTGTGCCAAGGACCCTGAGGAGTCTTCACCAGGGTACACTCACATGCTCCAGGAATGGGTGGAAAAGAAACTAAGTTTACAGTTTCTATATAGGAAGTTTTTATTCATGAATGCCTAATTTCAGTTATTTTGTTGCATTTTTATATGGTCCCTTCATGGCACTTTTTTTTTAGCATGAAATACAGGTCATACTACATAAACAGCTAAACAGCTAAACAAAAACTAACATTATAGCAGGTGCAGACAGGCAATCATATGTTTGCATTAAAACAACAAGAAAGCAGACAAAACGAGCAGTTTCTTCTATGCACAAAAATCCAGACTTACATATACATACATACATACACACGCACACACACACATATACACATACATACACATAGACACACATACATGCCATAACATACATATATGTAAGTTAGTGTTCACAGATTTGTCTTTGTTTCAGCCATAGTTTTGTTTTGATATTGAGGGCTTTGGGGTCCTTTAATGTTTTTATTTCTGATGGTAATTTATTCCAGATCTGTGGACCTTTGACTGAGAAGGAAGACTGTCCAAAAGCTGTCCTGCGCTTTGTGGGTTCAGTCTCCACTATCCACGTTCATCCCTTTGGACATTGCACAGTTAAAAATAAAAGAAAATGACTTTAGTTTATCATGTATTGTCCTATTTTTATATATTTTGATGACAAGTACTTTTTCTTGGATATATTATTTCACGTAAAAATCACCCGGCGATAGTGATTAGCGTTACTAATTTCAGCGACAGTGTTCTTGGGTTAAATGGACTTTCAAACTCATGTAGTGCAATGTTTCCTTGCACCTATACAAGCATGTTGGAACAAGTGTCAACACCACACCTGACCTCACATCTGAAAGAGTCATTGTGAGTGGAACTATGAACCTTTGCTTGCAAGATTTCAGAGATTTACAGACACACACACACACACAAAGAGAGACACACACATGCAATTACACTGTAAACCCAAGACAGAGGTTTCCAAATGAGAGACTCAGACTTGCGGATCAGTCAGCTACTGAGTTAATCATTGATGGCTGCTCAGACACATGGACACACACACACACACACACACACACACACACACACACACACACACACACACACGTAGGCCTACAGTATTATTATTGTTAAGGTCAATGACATGGACAGGCGCATGTCAGAGTTGCCACACATGCAGCTGCAGAAATACGCGGAAGAAAAAGTAGTGCGGGGGGATTGTTTTGAAATTTTTGTTGCTGTGATTTTAACAGCAAAAAAGGAATCTAAACCTACAAGTTTGGACTAAAACTGAAATGCAGGGTGTTGCATGCAGCTCAGGTTGCACTGAAACTCCCAAATACTCCAAAACGCAGCACTTGTACACGGTCCTGACCCAGACAGGTGCTTTGACCCTCATTCTCTGGGTGGGAAAGAGAAAGAAAGTACAGGAAGAGAAAGACACAGGAGGGATTGGAGGAGAAAAGAGGGTGTAAAACTGAATCTGAGCCCGAGGAAAACCGGCTTGACAAGAATTCAACACAACACACATTCAAGCACTGCTGCTTCTCTGCTGCCAACTATAGGGGGATTTTCTACTCACAGACATAGTGGGCTCCTGTGTTTAGGGTCTACACACCTGTGGTTACACACCTTGCTCTTCTCTCTGTCACACACACACACACACACACACACACACCGGTCTCGTGTAACTTCAAAATAGTGGGCCCACTGTCAGAAGCAGACTGTCAGCCCTCAAAGTTGAACACAGCTGGAGAACTTCTTGACACATGAAACTGACAAACACATGTTTCTAAAGCCATGTCAACAAAAAACTTGCGTGTCATTCTCACCTCGTCCCATTTGATGAACTTCCCACCCTTCTTGAGAGCTTCGTGGACGGACACGGGTTTGAGCTGCAGCGCGTGGACTCCCGGCTTGGCCCCGGCCATGGCGAGGGACTCCCTGCCCGGGTGCCAACGCCTAAACCCCGGCTACGGCGAGCTGGACTCCTCGGGAGGATCAAAAAATTTGCTCTTCCGTCCTTCCTCCACCCCGGAGCTTCCTCTGCTTTTCCGGGGAGAGGAGTTGATTGAAAAGGGCGAGGTGAAGGGGAAGTTTTTTCGACACCGAGCTTAAAAGTTGGTGAACCTCAGCGAGAGTTTGAAGAACATGAGGAGTAAAATCCACAGAGAGAGAGAGGACAGAAGTTTGCTGTTTCAGCGCACACCGCCGCTGTCTTGTCCGCGTCCACGCAACCACGCGGTGACGCGCCTTCAACTCCCCTTTTTATTCTGGCCTTTTTATTCATATATTTGTTTATTTCATGCAGGATCCTTTAATCGCGCACTTGAGCCCGCAGAGATATCCTTTCCTTCCTTCCTCCCATCTGCTCGACCCCTCTCCTCTCCTCTTCTTCTCGCGCCCTCTCGCTCCTCTACCAACTTTCTCTGCTTCCTCTCTCTCCTGTCGCCTCCGACGCGTTTCTTCTCTCCTCCTCCTCCTCTGCTCCCTGCATGTTTTCTGAGGGGGGGAAAAAAAGGAAGATTCCGAGTGGAGAATGAAGGAGAAGGACAGCGTCAGATAGCACCGAGTGAATGAGAAAGAGGAGGGGGAAGTCTGAGTTTGTGAAAAAGGGGTGTGTTGTAATTCTCTTCTGCCTACAACTTTGTATTCATGTTTCTATCAAGTTAAGCCTATTGCTGCATTTCTTTTTTATGGGTAAATCATTGCCAAACCTTGACACCTCATCTTTGCTTACTTCATTCCCAGATTACGGTGGCCGAGAACTGCTACTGCTGCAAATAAAAAAGAATGCAAATTAAAAAAAGAAACGGTGCAGATTAAAAAAAGCCACAACAAAAGTTAAGGACGCAAAAAAAGGGCGATGCAAAAAGACAAAAAAAGTAACTTACTGCGAAAATAAAAGGATGCAAAAAAAAGAACACAACAGAAGTGAGCTGCCGGGGACCAATAATGATGTCACACCGGTGTTTTACGATCAAGGCACAGAAGACAACGGCGAGAAAATGAGCAAATTTCGCTTCGAGTGCTTTTCACTGTGGTGAGGCCATGTAGCACCTGAGTTGACATAAAGTTGAACTGAAGCTAACGCCACACCAGTGTCCTCCAGTTCAACTTCATATCTGTCATATCAGGCACTATATGGCCTAACCAAATGACACATTGAAAAGCACACAAAGCGAAATTAAACAATAACCTTTCCACCAAAGACTGTAAATATTCTATGGACAACTTGGTTCCGCCTGTATATGAATTTGAAGCCAAAAAGCTCTCGGTATTTCCGTGATTTTTCTTCATTTCCTGAAACCAGCATTGCGCAGTAGCGTTGTGCACATTCGGTGGGAGTCGCCGAGAGTCGCTGTTATGACACTCGGCTCAAACAGCGTATCCTACGGGTGAGCTAGGCAATCCCTGAATGTCCACAGTTCCATAAGCTGTGCTGGCGGAGGCGGGATTTATGACCTATACTGCAGCCCGTCACCAGAGGGTGCTGTTCTTGGAGTGGCTTCACCCAGCAAGGAGGCAGACGCTGTCCATTCTATATACAGTCTATGCTTTCCACTTACTTCTTTAATCATCATCTCGCCGTCATCTTCTCTGCCTAGATTGTAAAACACCCTTGCATAATCATTATTGGTCCCCGGCAGCTCACTTCCACTTTTTATTTGCATGCTTGTATTTTCGCAGTAAGTACTTTTTTGTTTTTTTTTCCCCATCGCCACTTTTTTTGCATCATTGACTTCCGTTGTGTTTTTTTTTTTTTTTAATCTACACCATTTCTTTTTTTATTTGCAGCAAGCTTCGGTTTCTTTTTTTGCCTCAGTAACTTGCGTTGTGACTTCTTTTTTTTTTTTTTTTTGCCACAGTGGCTGTTCTCGGCCACCCTACCAGATGCATGCTAACTTAAAATTAAAGATGCACTGAGTGATTTTGTGTCGCGTTTCTAAGAAGCTTGCAAACCTGTGAGAAGCAGCCTTAAAAAGAAAAGTGGTCAAGATCGAGGTTGCAGAGGCAGAGACATTTACAAGTATTGGGGAGGGGGTGTTAGACATAACTCTAAATTTTCATTTCTACTTTATTTTAAATCCTGCTAATTTGATCTCTCTGGACACACTGTACTTGAGTGGCCAAAGCAATTTCCTGCATTGTGCTGCTGTAATTGAAAAGAATAACAAAGTACAGAACAGGTCAGTTAGCAAATTAAAAGAAATGTATAATTTGGGTCAAATAGGATTCAAACTCGCTGTTTAACTGTTTGTACGTTGATGAAGTTAGGTGCTGTTCTGAGCATTATTTGTGGCTATAGAGTGGTGTTTTGGTTGAGGTTTCTTTATGGTTCCTCAGACCGCTGTGTATTGCTATCGTGCGGTCGTTACTAAAGTTGGTATAACTATAGAAGCAAGCGGTTGGCAACATTTGTCTCTCCACAGGGTGTCTAACTCGGTGTTATGGTGTGTTTGACCCTAAATTAAATTTACTGCGGAATATCCCTTTAAGCCGCCACCTTTGAGCCAAGCATACAGGTGCAGGTACTGGGACTGATGTTGAAAAAGTAAATGTGTGGCAACTGACTGCAGGCTTGCTAACATCGTGTAAAACCAAGGCATGACCTCATGTAGATTTCTGATGAGAGATTTTTTCTTTTTTATTTAGTTTCCTGCAGAAAGTCTCAGAACATTCATGGTTGACTCCTAACTCTCCAGTTTTCAACAACATTCAAATGTGTTGGAGCTCCGGGGTACAGGCTGTTTGATATCCACTTCATTTGTTTTTCAAATATGCTTGACATTTTGTCCATGCACACCTGCACATCTCTTGATGGTTATGTATCAATGTTATCCTCATTAAAATTTGATTTTGCAATTCAATTCCACTACTTCTACGTCATCGTTTCATACCACACTGCAGTTATTTGAATAATAAATCTAAAAGTCAAGATTAGAAAGAACTTTCTGTTGCATTAAATGATTCCCAGATCAAGATACTCGATGGTTTAATATTGTTGGTATGAATTTGGAAGCTGTTTTGAAATGCTAAATAGTAGAATCATAAACATGCAATTAAAATGCACCTAATCCTCAATACAATTCAGCAATTACTATGATTTCTACTATGGTTAGTCTTAATTTTAAAAAATGATTCAATTAAAGGCTGAAAAATGTCCAAAAAGTTTCAAATATTTTCACAGACAATGATTGACTCTGCACCATTGATGAACTGATCTCCTATAACCTGTGTGATATCTTTCAAATAAGCTGCTTGGGAAACAGCTTTCAGCAAAACTGACATAAAACCAGCATGGACCAGCAAGACTGGACTTGTAACCCAGTGACACATGAAATATAAAAACCTGCTCTCTGTACATGAATATGTCATCGCTGAAGTGTGACAGTGTAGGTTGGGTCAGATCCTAGGGGGCAGGTTGTCACTTTGCATGTCAGAACATCGCAGTTCAGTCAGTAAAAGATGAACATTGATGTTACAGAGACGATGTGAAATTGGATCACTGGCAAAGTCTCTTTAGTGCTTGAACTTTACAGAGAGATAGGGTGATTGAAGGGTGTCTGCCCTAAGCAGCAGCAAAATCCAGCATCCTGTGGAGCCCAGACCCTGGTGGTGGAGGTATTTGTCAATGAGAACCCCCCGAGGCTGATGGGACGATGAAACTGATCAAATTTGGAAGACCAGGCAGCAGAGAAAAGATAGCTGACATTGAGATGATAAAGCTGATGAAACTTTAAGAGTGAGCAGTGATGGAGAGGTAGAAGGTAGCATGCTGCAATACCATGAACAACCTGGACAAAGAGAGCGCCTATGTTTAAAGTGACAGCATTATAGGCTAACAATAAGGGTGTGCTGCTGTGTTATAGGGTGTGAGCGAATAATAAGCACAGCTGATGATCTCATGAGATATGAGTGAGCATTCCTGGATGAGTGAATGTAAGACTGGAACAATAAATCAGTAAAGTCTTGATGGCTGAACTTACCGTAGAGCTCCATCAGTGAGTACAGAGGGAGGGATTACATGAAGGGTCGTGGTTGGAGTTGAACCAGCAACCAGCTCTGCAATAAGGACCAAAGCTTCTGTGCGAGGAGCATGCATTTAAACTGCACTGCAAGAGTCCCAAGTAATGAAAAAGAGTGGTCCAAGGCCTGACCCCTGAGGCACACCAGAATGGCTTTAACTGTTTCAAGGTTAACACAGGCATCATATTTTGTCCAGGTAATATTAACTGTACCTAATTTTACTGTTTTCAGAGGCATTTTTACATTAAGACCAGTCAGAAATTAAATGTCTGTTTAAAGCTGCTGTGAATAACTTTCTGTCCATGTTGACTTTAGCACCCCTTGTTGACCAAATGGTTACCCTTGTATCATTGCTGATTTCGGCTCATCCTTGAGCCTTTAGTTGACAAAAGATATCCTCCTGCTGTCTTTATGCCTTGATATCACTAAGGTGGTTTCTACAGTGTACTTACCTCCTCAAAGCAGTAACAAGAATTAAAGATTACAACATAGGAAATGTCAGTGTCATCATTTGTGGTCTCATTTGCATTTTTACATCATACAGACAAACTACTGTTCATTTCAGCCTGTTTCCAAACCAGTCAAAAACTCCTTACAGTAGCTTTAAAGAGGGGCATTATGCTTTTTTCAAAGTTATATTTAGCTGCTGTCTCTTTAAGCATAATAAAGCATTATACCCCCCTTTAAATAACAAGGAAATTAGTTCCTTTAGAATAACAAGCATCAGCTAGCTAGCTTAGTTCATGGCACAAAGCCATGAAGCAGAAGAAAACACTAAAAGTAGATCAGATTAATGTTTTGTTCTTGTTGTTGTTGTTTTTATATATGAAAAAAGCATTGCATTAGTTCCTTGTTAGCTTTGTAGCTAAGTCAAAAACATCCGGATGCAACCTTGAATGAAAAAAAAGGTAAAGTATTTCACCCTGAAATGCAGTAGAGGTACTTTGATTTAAAAAAAAATCAAAATACTGAATGTACCTTGGTACATTACTGTGTTTATGTGAATGTACTTATTTAATTCCCCCACAGTTTATTGACCGTCATCCTCCAGTCAGCTCCTATTAGCTGTTGTTGTCTGCAGGGAGCAAATGTTTAATTAAAGAGCTGATTTAATCCTTCAAATTACCTTTGCCTATAATTGCTTTGAATTATTTTCCTCTGTGTTGACAGTGTTACATCACTTGTCCAGCCTGTAACATTATTAAAAACATGGTAGCTATAATTACAGTCACGGCAAATGCAAAGTACTAAGTTTAGAGGTAATTTCAGTCAAAATGGGATGGGTGGTTTTGCAGTCGCATTGTGAAATTACGTGTGAATTATAATAAAATTCTTTATCAATGAGCAGAACGTAATTTCAGGGAGGTGGTGGTGAGGTAATAGAAGCCCCTTAAAGTCATCAGGTAACTTTCCCCTACTTCCAGCAGATCAGTTGCAGCGTATCATGTTTAAGGAGTGTGAGAGCAAAGGAGTCAAATCC